TGTGGATATGTGCTCCACCCCGGTCTGCCCGTTTTGCATCACTTGTACCCCATGAGGGATATCTGTTGACGCTCTGACCTCACATATTCCTGTCAGCGTTTCTTCCTCATCACCCGGTCTCTCGTAAGGATTCCTTGATAAAGCGTCCGCATTGCCATTGGACCGCCCCGGGCGATATTTTATCTCCAGGTCAAAGAGTGCCAATTCTGCTGCCCATCTCTGTTCGATGGATCCCAACTTTGCTGTCTTTAGGTGACTCAAGGGGTTATTGTCAGTGTATACCACACATTTAGCACCTAATAGATAGTCCCTGAATTTTTCAGTCACAGCCCATTTTAATGTCAAAAGTTCTAGTTTCATGGCGCTGTAATTTGTCATGTTCTTCTCTGATTCCTTCAGAGCTCGACTGGCATACGCAATAACCCTGAAACCTTGCTTTTGTTGTTGTGATAGCACAGCTCCCAGACCTTTAGAGCTGGCGTCGATTTCTAACCGAAATGGTTTGTCAAAGTCCGCGTATCCCAATATCGGCGCCTCTGTCAAAGCCTTTTTCAAGAGCTTAAACGAGTTCAGGCATTCATCAGTCCATAATTCACCTATCCGGTGTGTTTTACCTTTCTTTTTCTCCTTACTGTGTTTCTTTGTCATTTTGTTTACCAAGTCATGCAACGGTGCGGCAATTTTTGCAAAACCAGGTACAAATTTTCTATAATAGGAAGCAAAACCCAAGAATGACCTGACCTCTACCGTAGTTGATGGTTGTTTCCATTCTTTAACAGCTGCAATTTTATCTGGGTCAGTGGCGATGCCATCCGACGAAATCACGTAACCCAAAAAATGTACCGATTTCAGACCGAAGCAGCATTTATCTGGGTTCAGCCTTACTCCTATCTCCCTAAGACGGAGAAACACTTGTTCTAATCTTTCTAGATGGTCCTCCCAAGTTTTTGAGTAAACCAGTATATCATCCAAGTACACCAACATTATTTGAAATAGAAAGTCACTCATAGCACTCTGCATTACTCGCTGGAATGTAGCAGGTGCATTAGTTAGACCAAACGGCATACGGGTCCACTCGTACAGTCCCAGTGGAGAAATAAATGCAGTTTTATGTTGATCGTTGGGGTGCATGGCCACTTGGTGGTAGCCACTAGCCAAATCCAAGGTAGAAAAAAATCTTGCTCCCCCCAACGCATCAAGACATTCATCAATACGAGGCAAGGGGAATGCATCCCTTCTTGTGATATTGTTCAATTTCCGGTAATCACAACACAGTCTTATCTCCCCTGACTTCTTTTTTACCACTACTATCGGTGCCGCATACGGGCTTGTACTGGTTGTAATAATTCCCTTTTTTAGTAGATCATTCAGGTGTGCTTTCACCGCCGAGTAGTGACTTGGTGGTAATCTTCGGTAGGGTTGCGCCACCGGCTTGTCTTGTAGTAAGGGTATCTGGTGTTTGATTACTTCCGTGTACCCCAAATCACCCTCATACGAGGCAAATATATCACTGTATTTATTCAGCAATTCATTTAGTTTTGGGTCCTCAGTTTCCGGGAATGTATATGATCGGCCATCCTCTTTCTTCACCTCGGCCGTCACATTGACCGACCTAATTGTTACTTCATTACTGCTGGTATTGATCAGTTCGATGCACTGTGCCGACCTTTGTACCTCGACGTTCTGTGGTACTCCTACCAGAGTGTTAGGCGGTATAAAAATTTCCTCATCCAAAACATTAGCTATCAACCCTTGAACTAGTCCGTTTTCCGCTGATGTGTATGTCCGCAGTAACACGACGCCTGCCCTCAGTGTGGCGCCACATGGTTCTATCATCACATCGCCATTTACACTTCTATCACCGATTTGTAATGTGATTGCCTTGACCGTGTTTGCCGGGACTGCTGTCCTTCCTCTGGTCTTGGCAAACCTGGCCAACTTGGATCCCCGATCTGATGTGGGCGATCCGACAATATTTGTAAGAAATTCTGGCAACTGGCCAAGAATATTCATGCCCAACAGGCAAGGTATATTTGACACATTTGTCTCTAGGTTGTGTTTCGTAACGAACACCCCAACCTGCTTCAACCTATGTCCCGCCACCACGACATCCGCCAGAAAATAACCACAGTATGGAATGGTTAATCCATTAGCTGCCGTCAGGCGCATGCTTGTGTCACACCTTAACCTATTGTCTTTTCCTTTCATCCATTTGGTGTAAAATTGTTCCGTAATTGTCGTCACCTGGGAGCCTGTATCCACAATTGCCTTCACCGCGATGTCCCCAATCGTAATCACCATTTCGGGACAGACTCCCATCATTTTGTTTCTTGGGCCATAACCTCGCCCCTCTGTAGCCTGGCCCTGCCTTACAGAGGACGACCGTTTCCCTGACAGTACCGTGCCATATGTCCGGGTTGTGAACAGGACAAGCAAATTGGTCGACCGTCGGCCGTCCATTGGAGTGATGGCTTGGCAGGACGCGGCCGTCCAACCTGTCTCTGTTTTGTCCCGTTCTTTTCCTGATTCTCAGCTGTTGACCTGCTTTCTAACCTCTCCAAACGTTGGTCAACCTTATCTAGGTGGGCCAACAGTTGAGCCATCATGGTCTCCATCGTGTCGGCCCCTGTGGGTGGGGATTGTTTCTGTTCCGGCACAGAGACTTTGTCCACCGAACAGTTCGATTGGTCCTCATCCTCGGACCTGCGGATCGCTGAGTTCCTGACCTGAAGGAAGGTCAACTGCGGGTCTTTGTGGACCTCCTCTTTCAACTCTCTTCTTAGGATCGGGGTTGCTAGCCCCTCGATGAAATGGTCCCTCAGTAGGCGCACATCAATGTCAGGTGTTTTGCCCTTTACCGAATCAAAGGCCCTGTTCATCCGGTGTGAGTACTCCATCACACTCTCCGCCATTCTCTGCCTTAAGCCTACGAACCCTGATAGCAGTTGCGATCCCGACCGTCTCTCCCCAAAGGTCTCCATAATCAGATCCAGCACCTTATCTGGATCTGATTGGATGGTTTTATCGTGGCATTTGACCTCTGCCCTAACCGTCTCTCCTATACTGCCCATCAGCAGTCTTAATCTTTCCTCTGGTGACATGCCTCTCGAGGCCCAGGCCGCTTTGACCTCTTCACTGAACCTGTTGGTTAAAGTTGGATCACCGTCCCCGTAAAATTTGTTAATGTGGGACTCTCTGGGTAGGACCACTATATGGGTCTGCTTCTCGTCCAGAGTAGACATTTTATTCCGTAAGTAACAAAAAAAAGAGTTCTTTCTTACCGTGTGTGTATGAAAAATTTTTCTCGTTCCTCAATTTTCACAGTTCCTGAATGTCCGAATTCACACACACACAAAACACAGTTATGCACAAGGTTGACTATGGGTGCCTCCAACGGCAAGTCTAGTTGAATTCATCCTGTCCGACGACGCCAATTGTAACGAGCGAACAGTTACCCTGCTCGCAACGCCACATGTTACGAGACTATTTGGCTGTAGTGCCAAATGTAACGAGTTTAACCACTCATTCTACACAACATCGACTACAGTAGAAATACTCGAAGATGCAGGTTCGCTATTGATCCTTTTATTACATGAATCAAGAAATGCTTCAAAATAACACAATGAATCAACAGGAATGCTTCACAATAATAGTCTGAATCAACTGACCCCTAACAGTCCTCACTAGGCTTCATATAACTGAATCCACATGTCTATCGTCCTTCTTAACACAATACGGCTAACCCGTTCTATCTCCAACTTGATATGTCACACAGACTGACTGATCTAAAGCGAGCGATGAAGAGAGTGCGAGCGATCGAAAGAGAGCGAGCGATCGAAAAAGGGCGAGCTCAGCCGTCCCCTCCTATTTATCCCTTGTATTCGTACTCGTATTCGTACTTGTATTCATCCGTAATCGATATTTGTACTCGATGTCTCCGACTACTAGTTGCGCAGTTCTAACGTACAGTCCGATTAATAAAACATCTGCATCCTATCAATCAAAGTTGACAGGCCGTCTGAATCCCCTCGTACCGTTTCCCAAAATAGCACGCGTTGGCTTTGAGATTGTTATCAGTCCGATTTAATAAGCCACCTGCTATCAGTTGCATCAGACTGTAATACTGCGTCGCGGCTTATCGTTCGTTATCAGTTGCATCAGATTGTAACTAGTAGCTAGGCCTACCCTAGTTACATATATATATATATATATAAGCTCATATATAGGCCCCCCTATACATGCACACAAAAATACATTAAATTTGCCTTTTTTATCCTTAGTTTATGTGTACTACTTCTTGTAGAAAACTAAGTGAAAAGTGTATAAAAAATAAATACCAGTACTTGATTTAGTGTAGACCATATATTTATTGATTGTGTGGTTTGGCATTATTATTGCATAGCCTTGTTCAACAATATATAAGTAGCACAGAGTGACAACAAGAAAGGATTTTTTAATTGTGGTAAGTTGTGTAAAAAAAAATATTTGGAATGAACACAATAACTGTTGTCAGCTTTAAAAAAAAATTAAAAGTTGTTGAATACAATATCACAAAGCCACATAGTAGAAAAGTAAAAATGTTATACATAGAAAAAAAAATTACAAAAAATAATTGAGATCACAACTTCAAATGTGTTAATTAAAAATGTGTATGTCATAATAATTAAAATACTCTTTTAAAAGACTTTTCATCATGAATATAAAAGAAAAACTAGATAAACTTGCTGATATTTAAAAAATGTAAAAACTAAAATTCAGTTTCTAACATTATTTTAAAACTCATTTTTATAAAACTGGAAAATTAAAATTAAAAAAAAAAATCATTAGATTCTAAAAATAATTATTGCACATTTAAAAATATTTACAAATACAATACATAATTGAAGAAAAGTTACAATGCCAAAAACAGCACTTTGAAAAATGAAAATAGTATTAAAAATTTCTGGAATTTAAACACAGATAAAATCTTTAAAAATATAAGTAGGCCTACTCATTCAATAAAATTTTTTTTTTAAAACTACAAACATATATATAAATTCTATTTACATAAAATATTGCCTTGTTGTAACATAAAAAAAATAATTTTTTTCAGTTTTATTTTTTCTTGTGAGTTTTAATTTCTATTGTTTGGGGTTGGTTTGTTAAATATGCGTGGAAGTAAAAGTTTAAAAATAAGACCAATATTGTTATTATATATAGAATACTATATATGCAAAACTTATGGTAATGATATCCATTCACTGCAATGAACAATCCAAATCCAAATGCAAATATTTGCATTTCAGTCAAGGATTTGTCCCATTTGGGTGGGCTGTAAATTAAAATAAATTGTTGAGAATAAACTTAGAAAATGGAAGGATTTAAAATATTTAAAATTAATGTTTGTGTTTTGTTTTTGTAAATATTTATCATAACTTCTGCTGTTCATTAGTGTTAGTAGATAAATTTCCAAATACTCAAAGAATGAAATACAATGAATGCAGCTAAATCATATGTTCTTGAAGATCATACAATATTACTGTATAGAACTGTACAAAGAATAACAAATAATAATATAGTAAAAATGTTATATACTTACTTTTCAGGAGTTAAAGCCACTAGTCCATAGTAAAAGTATAAGATGACATGAACCAAAGAGTTAAGTGCTAAGAAAGTTGCAATAGATGGCCAGGGAGAAAAGAGTCTCGCCACATCACAAAGAAGCAGCATACTGAAGCGGTAATACACATGCAAAAATGATATTTGGCTGCGACGATGTCTCAACACTAGATACACTGTATCAAACAGCTCCACAATCTGAAATAAAAAATTGAAATTTTAAAAATAAAATAAAAACATTTTAATAACACGTTACTATCAATCATTAATTAAAAGCTAACAGAAAAAAACTGTGTTGTTTATAAAATTTTAATTGAATATAACTTACCTTAATAATCCAGTAAATTTTAAAAGCTTGCAGAAAAACTGGGCTTGAAGTTTTTCCATAAGCAGAACCATTAATGATCAAAGCATTTGAAAACCCAAAAAGTGTAACTGCATTGGCTATGCAGCAACTAAAGTTGTGGATAACAAGAAGCTGTTTGTAATAGGAATAAAAGAAAATAAGTAAATCAATATTTGGTTTGTGGTGAACTAAAGAAAAATGACAGGTGTAATACTGATTTACCAAGCAATTTCATGTAAAGAGAAAGTTTGATTAAAAAAATGATGAAGTTAAATTTAAGACGAACAGAAACAATTACATTTCTTGTAGACTATTTTGGACTTGGTCAAGTATAAAAATGTACTGACTGATTTGAGTTGAAATGGTGAAGTCCACCGTTGCCACAATCCAGATACAACAATCATCAAAATATACCCAATGAATAAAGGTATAGATGGCAGAGCAGCTGTCATTTTCAGAAAGCTCAAACTACCTTGAGAACCTGCCATATCTGAATTCAAAGTCAAAATAAATTTTAATAAAATTAAGAAAAATCATTTTAATCCTGTATATTTAAAAAAAATTCTGCAATTGAAAAGTAAATTTAATCCAATGGTGAGAAATTTTAAATTGCTGGTATCACTGCGATTTCCATACTTAAGTTAACTAAAGTAGTAGAACTAGATCTACCTTTATTTATTATTAGTCTATTCTTCTAGATCAATTCATGGGACAGTGTGACCTAAGTGGTAGAATGCGAAGCTGCTAACCTGAATGTAATGAGTTTGAATCTGGGTCTAAGTCAGTAGAACGTCCCTGAGTCCACCCAGCTCTGATGGGTACCTAACTCATGTTAGGCAAAGTAAAGGCCGCTGGGCAAAGTGCTGACCACACCTTTTCTTCGTATGACGAGGTCGAGAAACATATGAACTCTACTTCATTTGTTCAATTGATCGCTAGGTCTAAAGAGGATTCTTTACTGACTTTACTAGATCTACTCACTACTACTACTACTAGCATGAAGCAATTTTTACCAATTTAGTTTGGCTTAGCCACCAAGTAGTCTAAGTTAGATGTATTAAAATATTAGGTAATCTATCATTTGAGGGACGTAAAATCGACTGAAACTAATAATGTGAAAAAAAGGTGACTCATTCAATTTTTGTAATTATTTTACATTTTTAGGAGGATTTATGTTTTGAAAGTTACAAAAATGTTTCAAAGTTTCATTAATGTACCTGTTTTTAAACAATTGTATTAAAACTTTTCAGTAAAAAGTAAAGACTAGCTATGTTTTCATCATATGTAACCAAACTAATTTACTTTAGCAGCCATCTTGTTTAAGTTTTATTTTGGTAAAATTCTAGATAGAGATTCAGGGCAACCACTCGAACGTACAGATGGCTGCTGTTTATATAGTAATATAATATAGCATATCTTGCTTGCAAACGCTACTGATTAAAGTTAATTTCTAGCCTATATTGATATATATAGCCATTAATTTTGGTTTATCCTTCAGTTATCTATAATATTTGACACAAATATATCACAATATATCAATATACTTCTGCTAAAGTAAAGCCTTAACTATGTGGCAAATTTTCGCACATTACAATTACTAGCCTTGGCGGATTTTCCGCATCTAAAACAATAGATTACCAAATATTAAAACTATTAAAGTAAATAGTAAAATATGTTATTAATTATTAATAATTAAGTAGACTTCACCACACAACTTCAGGTGAATTGGGTAAGACTCTAGACTACAGTGTAGATCTACGAGTAAATGACTTACTTCGCTTCGACAGACTGTCTGAGACCACTGGCACTTAAGATACACTTTCACTAACGACTTAACAAGTTAAACAACTCTAATTCTAACAGTAACTAATCCCTTTCTCTGTGCACACTTAAATGTTTATTTATTATTATTCATTAAATAAAAATTAGATTTAGAATTTACTAAGTTTAATAATTATTTAGGATGGAATTAGCGGTCAGCGGCATAAAAAAGAATAAGCCGCTTTTAAAATTTTATTTTTAGGGCAGGGTCTACAGTTACAGTCTGCAAATAAAAAAAAAAATAGTTTAGAGTAGTAGAGGTTAGATCTAGATAATCTAGATCATGTTGTCCCAATCCAATCAGCGAGGTTTTGTTTTATAAACAGTAGTCACGAGTAACCAGAAGAGAATTAAAAAATAAGTAAAATCCATTCAATTGATTAGATCTACAATGGATAATTGGGAAATCGAAAGTAGGAAGTAATCACAAACAATAAAAAGGTAAAACTAAACGACGAAAACTAAAAATATATATTAAAATATGTTTGTATAAATTATTGTTTCTGCAGTAGGCCTAGGGCCTATTCAAGATAAAAAATCTTATGATAATCGTTGAACTACTGTAAACTTTCCAAATGCGTATTTTAAGTTTATAATAATGCTAAATGCTATGTATACGCCTACTTCCATTTCATCGTTTCTTTGGGAAGAATGCAGTTGACCATTGCAATTGTTCAGGGGAAATATTAATATACTAAAAATCCATAGGAAAAAAACATTAGCTTAATCTAAAATAGTTTTTCTTATTTAATATCGTAAAATAAAGGGGCACGCCATTGTGCACAATCAATAGACCAGGGGTCACTATTTAAAATAATGTATGCAAAACAGTGTAGTGTAGGTTACGGCTTAGAAACAGAACTTCTCTTATTTAGATGAGATATGCATTTGCTTAGTTGGGGGCGTTGAAACAAAAATTATAAAAAGTCTACCAGTTATAAATACCACACTTTTAAAACACCGAATTGTTCGAGGTGGGAAAATGTGTGAGTCGGAGGGGGGGGGGGGGGGGGGGGGGAATCGTCCATAAATGATGTCACTCTTTAAAAAACTATTTTTACCTTCCCATCGTTATAAAATTCAGTGTGACGTCATTTACGGAATATCCCAGTACGGTGGTTCCTAGTAGTAATGTGTTAACAACAAGTGAGCAGAGTTTCTTCCAGGCATCTCTTCGCCCTCCGAAATTTTTTTACCGCCCCCCCCCCCCCCGAACGAAATGAAATTTATATAGAAAATATATACTTTTAACAGTGTTTGCCCCCCCCCCCCCGAAGAAAGTCTACCCCCCCCCCCCAACCCCCGAAAATTTCAAGTGCCCTCCCCCCGGAGAAAAAGTCTGGAAGAAACACTGCAAGTGAGATAGTTTGGAACATTTCTAAAACGACGTAAAAACATTACATTGGTGGTAGAGGTTGGGTCAAAATGTTTTATTAGGAGTAAATAGCATACATCGGCTCTTCTTAAAACACGCCGATAAAAGACATAAGCATCGACATTGTTACAGCATCGAGTTTTTTTTTGGGTAGCCCATTTAGTAAATAGTAAAAGGCCAGATTTTGAGGTCAGGATTCAGGTTATTAACTGTTTCAGCTATGGTTAGAGCCAGGGTACGATACTCGAAAAAATATAGAATAATTATTTAAAGAGTAAACCAATAAAAAATGTGTGTGTGCAAGATAGTCTATTAATATAGATTAATAGAGCACTATTATTAAGGTGTTAGAAAAAGGTGATATCACGTTCTTTAACTATTAGATCTAGATTTAGAGTCTAGAAAATAGACTAGGGCCTAGACATCACTAAAGACAATCTGAGACAAAATTAAAATCAAAGGCCACGTCACATGCGCATGCGTTGAGGATTTTACCCGGAATTTCCGGACGACACGACTACAACAGACAAACTTCTGTTCGGTCTGTTGTCAATAGAACAAACTATAAACAACATAAAGATGGATTATTTCAGAAAAGTACTAGGAGGTCCACAAGATGCACAAACTACTAGTGGTGCAGAAACTGTGAGTACACAACTGTCCAGAAAGCTGTTTCGATTGTTTACTGTGCACAACATTGATGCTAAAAAGCGGCGGATAGAGCCAGTACTGCCACTGGCCCAGTACGGGTAGTAGAGTCTATTTATTTTCTAGTACAGACAACAGTAGAATCTAGATCTAGTTCTGTCTGTAGTCTGTTACAGTCTGTACTCCATATAGTTCTGTAGTTTAACTAGATCTAGATCTAGTTAAAGATAGTCAGTGGCAGCGAGTTACTTAATGTCAACATACAGACTCGCTGGCGTATGGCGTAGGTAGGCTACTAAACTAAACTATTACAAACATTGAAACAAGACAAACCCCCAAGTCAGAAGTGTACTACTGAGCTGATTACCTACTAAAACTAAATCACTAAATTTAGGCAAGCTACCCAACTAAACTAGAGATCTGGTTTGATCAGTGACTAAATCTAGAAATCTAAGATCTAGTAATTTGGTAAATAAAAATAGATCTAGATCTAGATTCTAGATCTAGATTCAAAGTGACTACTTGGAAGAAGCTTCTTCCCCCCCCCCCCACTCAACACTAGTCTGGCAGACAGAATATGATAGTCACAATGACCTTAACAGATGCATAATTGTCTAAAATACTATTAAATTAATAGCTGCACAATAGGCTAAAATGATTCTTTTATAGCTGTGCAATGTGTTCGAGCAGTTGTGTATTGGGCGGGTCATCAAGGTTGATGGTTCATAGTGTTAAGTTATAGTAGATATCTAGTTAGGAGATCTAGTCTATAGGCCCCTAAGTGAAGTATAAAACATTTTTAAAAAATCTTTTTTTAATAGCCTATGTAAATATACTAGGTCTATTTAAGTACTAATCAAGTTAATCCATGTCCCATCAAGACAACACAGAGGTCTAAACAATGAACATTTAGATCACAAGAATAACCAGGTCATTGTAGTGCCATGCCCATCTTCTTCTGGCTAGAATCGGCAAAATAGATTAGGTACTGATTCTACAAAAAAAAAACTAGAAGTAGACTCTAGTTAGAGTCATCTGGTTACTTCTGGTTACTCAAGCAACAAAGTTCCAACAATTAACCATCTTCGCTACAATGACCAGTGTGAACACTGATGATTATTGTGTGATATTATAAGAATAATTTGAAATGAGGGATGACTTGTTGAGTACTTGTATGTGCATTTGGTAAGATTACACTGGTACAACCAGGCCATCTACCATTTTACTAAGACTTTGAAAGCCCCCTTACACACCATATTTAGTCCTTGTAGCCCCATCCATATTCAATTTCATTGTTAATGGTCCTATTTCTAAAAATTATCATTATTGGATATATGTCTAGTCTGTTTAAAAATTAAGATCCCCATACCATAATTGTACAAATTTAATGCCAAACTTAGGCCTATAGAGAGCCAGTGAAAGCAATACATTTGTTCTTGTAAAATTTATTTTTACATTAACTAAGGTTTTTTTTTTACAGATTGAACGCCTATGTGAACGTGTTTCATCTTCTACTCTTCTAGATGATCGAAGAGATGCTGTTAGGGCATTAAAAGCCCTATCAAAAGTATGTTTTAGTTATTTGTTGTTTTATCATGTTAGTTTTTCTTATAAAGTTTAGTGTTATGTTTATTAGTCAAAAAGATAAAATTAAGCTTCTCTTTGATGCATCTGTGTTGACTTTTTTTTTTTTGTTTAAACATATCGGAAAAAGTAAATTGTATCCATAAAAAACTTAGAAGTATGAGCTGACATTGAAAGGTTAGAATTTAAAAATTGCAATCTGACATAAATAGGCCTACTATCAGATAAAAAAAAAATGAATGCAAATAAAAGCATCATAAAAACATTGTTTTTCTGTTCTAGAAATTTAGACTGGAAGTTGGAACACAAGCGATGGACATTCTTTTGAATGTATTACAACAAGATAGGTAAGCTGTAGCAACTTTTTCATAAAAATTGCCAACAAAGACCACCATTTTTGTTTCCTGCTGCTGTTTAGTTTTTAATAACTTAGCTACTTATATTGGCTGTTAGGTAAATAAAGTATATATGTAATATTACTTATTATAAATGTTTGTTTTAATTATTATGGATTATTTAAAAAAATATCACATGGGCTTATTGTTATTTTGATATGTATTAGGCTTAAATAAAATATGCTCTTTATGCTTATTTATTAATCACATTTTGACTTTCATGCTGCATTTGAGATTTTTATACTTGATACTATTACAGAAATGATACTGAGATTATTGGTTATGCACTGGATACTTTCTATCATGTTATGTCCAATGAGCCTACAGATGAAGGTATAAGTAAATTGTACAATCTACTTAAAGACTACTTTCTGTAATGTTGTTTGGCCTAGTTGCATGATTAGTTAATGCTAAGCTTTGACATTTAAATTCAAATATGGATAACAATATTTTGTTTGTTTGCAGATGACTTAAACAACACATCTGGCAATGACTTGGGAGGACAATTTACTGAAATCTTTATCAAGCATGCTGAGAATGTTACATTACTTTTAACCTTTCTTGAGGTACTTGATTTCTATTTATAGTATGTATACAGAGCATTAGGTAACATTTGTGTGTAATATTTTATTTTTATGTAATATTTTATTTAAAAACCTGTTAAATATTTCATTAGGAGTATGACTTTCATGTGAGATGGCCAACTGTTAAACTACTTACAGTTTTACTTACTAATAGACAGAAGGATTTGCAAGAAATAATACTTGTTATCCCTATGGGAGTTTCAAGACTAATGGATCTTTTGTCTGACAGTAGAGAAATTATCCGTAATGATGTAAGTATCACACAAAAAATTGTTTTTTAAGTTTAAAAAATTAGTAGAACAAATAAGCATCATTAATATTTATTAAAAATCAACCTTTTTCACATACCAGGCATTGCTGTTACTGAATCAGCTTACAAAAGGCCATGCAAATATTCAAAAAATTGTAGCCTTTGAAAATGCATTTGAAAGAATAATCGATATAATCCGAGATGAAGGAGCAACAGATGGAGGTTTGTTTAGCATACTGCATTTGTTGAACTATAATTTTCCTCCATGTACCTGTTTAATTTAGCTATGCTAATCCGAGTAAAATGATTAGTTATCATTTTTTCTTTGTATCTTCAGGTATTGTTGTAGAAGACTGTTTGCTGTTGCTGCAGAACCTTCTGAGAAATAATGCTTCTAATCAGAATTTTTTCAAAGAGGGCAGCTACATTCAGAAGCTGAGGCCATTCTTTCAATTGGATGATGATTCTCATTCTAAACAAGTTGGATGGTCAGCACAGAAAGTTACAAATATGCATCTTTTATTACAGGTGAAGGAATTGTCAACTCTAGGACATATCTTTAAATTAGAGATTTGGTTAGGTATTTTACATACTGAGTTGTAAAGATTTAAGAAATTGTATTGACTGTTAGCTACTGATAACTTATGTAATGGAGCTGTTTCAAATAAAAGTTGTCAAATTAATAGTAGAGGTAGTTTGTTTCAGGTTACTTTTATCTTAGTTATTTAATTATTTAAAATGATTTTCAGCTTGTCAGAACTTTGGTGTCTCCCAACAATCCACAAAACCAAACAGTTGCATGTCAAAAAGTGATGAACCAGTGTGGTAGGTTTACTATCTTACTTGCTTCAGAATTAATGCATTTTTTAAGTTAACAATGTAGATGATGAACTCAACTTTGAATTACATGCACAGAGTGTAGTTTTTGCAAGTCAGTCTTATACATTTTTTAAAACTTTGTTTTTAAGTTAATGTATTGTTTGTTGCATGCTTATGATTACTTAAAAGTAAATTACTGTTGTTAAGTTATTCCCTGTATGTATTCATTCAACCCAAACTAGAAATTACCTTCCAATTATCATGTAATATATGTTTTAAATCTACACTAGGTTTGTTACAAGATTTGTGTTCTATCCTAATGGCAAGTGGTGTTCCTGCTGATGTTTTAACTGAGGTAACATTTGTTCTACAATAAACTGGATGTCTAATACTATAGTTCCATGTTTATACTACAATGCAATATAAGTTAATATGATTATTTTTTTATAGTAATAATAAAAGGTTGTTAAAAGCAACTGGTTTGTGGTAAATATTAATTTGATAATGTATTATTTTTGTAACAATAACTTTGATAGTAAAATAAATTAAAATATTTTTCCTCCTTACGTTATTTCCAATAAAAAATGTGTCATTACTCTCTTGGTTCAGACTATCAACACAGTATCAGAGGTTATCAGAGGGAGTCAAATTAACCAGGAATATTTTGCCTCTGTTTTAGCACCATCTACCCCACCAAGGTATACCAGCATAATTTCACTTAGCATATCTGATTTGATATTGGCGCGATTTTGTAAAATAATTACAAACTATACTTCGATTGGCTTGAAAAGCTTGCTACAAATAGTTCCAAATAATTAATGTCAGAAAGCAAAATGGAATTCTCTTTTGGTACCGCCTGAAGGTGCAATACACGGTTTGGCGCCCAGGGTTACAGAGCAGCTATCTTAGCACTTGGTATCTGTTAATTGGGCATCCTGCATAGCAAGTTAGGGGTACTACTATATCTAGCATTAAAACTTAAACAGTTGCATCGCCGCCGACTATTGCATGACCCAAAGAGCACTATGGCGCCTATGTTGATTTTATAAAAAGGTTATACACTAAAGACATGATAACCGTTAACTGTTTCGAATCTGGTGCGTCCTCCTGCGCCCCTTCAGGGTGCGATTTAATGCCCTGGGCTTTCAAAAAAAGTGCAATGACACCTACGTTCATTCTAAATAGTGCGATAGACTATGCATAAGATGGGGTTTTAGAGCACTATGGTGCCTACGTTAATTTTAAGGAACACCCTTGAGCGTTATGGCGGCTACGTTCGTTTTAAAGAGCGCTATAGAATATGGATAAGATGTAGTAATAAATATAGTTGTTCACTAAGTTAAATCAGGCACGCCCGCTAGCGCCCCGGCAGGGTGCTATTTGGTGCCCCAAGCTATCCTGTGACTAGCAGTCAGACTTTCTTCTGAGACGGGCACAATAGTTATTTAATATAAATAAACTACTGGACTATTGTTGGACGGAGTGGTCTAGCGGTAGAGAGCTGGACTGCTAACCCGTAAGTCTCGAGTTCGAATCCGGGTTCAAGTCAGTAGACCATCCCTGAGTCCACCCAACTCTGATGGGTACCTAACTCTTGTTAGGGAAAGTAAAGGCGGATGGGCATAGTGCTGACCACACTATCTTTTCATATGCCGAGGTCACAGAAACAAGTGAACTCTACTTCACTTGACCAATAGACCGTCAGGAAATTTTACTTTTTTTTTACTGGGCTATTGTATATTTTATCATGAAAAATAGTGTTGTGATTTTCATTGTTTTAATTTTCCTGGCCACTCCGATTGACTTCAAGGAGGGGTTGAGGGTGGTTTTTTTAAATATTTGAATTGATAAAATAATTCTAAACGGCATTTCAACTGCTTGTATGAAAATGTAATCGATTTCCCAAATGGCCTTAATTTTTTAAAATGTAACTATAATTTTATTGCATTATGATTGCATAGACTTTTCAAGCCTATTAATCTTTCTAAGGGACAATATATTGTTAAAACATTTGTGTTTAGTATGTTATAAATAAATTGAAAATTGAAAAAAGATGAGTGTGAAACATTAAACACCTATTTTTTATGTCTTCTTATTAGACATATCATTCACTTCTCAAATGCAAGCAGAAAAATAATAGCAATGGTGTTTTTTATAACCATGTGACAGTTTTTGCTTTTTTTTTTCAGGCCTGCAATTGTTGTTCTGCTGATGTCCATGGTTAATGAAAAACAGCCTTTTGTGTTGAGATGTGCAGTTTTGTACTGTTTTCAATCTTTTCTCTACAAAAATGAGGTGGGACAGTCGCAGATCATACAGACTCTATTACCAACTGCTGCTGATGGTAGGTATTTCGGCATAGTATTTTTATAACTTTGTCAAGACTTAAGTTTAACAAAAGTGTTTATTTTTATTTTAGTGAGGTTATATGGAAAATTTATTTAAAAACACAAAATTTTATAACGATTCCCTACTTTTATGAAAAAATACTTGTAATTTGGATTGTTTTTTGTCAAGTGATTAAATAAAAACAAACATATTTTGAAATTATATTGAATATTAGTGATTTTAAAGCTGTTAATTTTTTAAATTCAAATGTCAACATTACTCCTTGTTTTAGCCACTTCAATTACCGCTGGTCAACTTCTGTGTGGAGGTTTGTTTAGCGTTGACCCACTGTCAAACTGGTTTGCAGCGGTTGCCCTTCTTCATGCTATTGTAGAGAATCCTACTCAGAAGGAACAATTACTCCGTGTTCAGCTTGCTACAAGCTTAGGTAGTCCTCCTGTTTCTTTACTCCAGCAGTGCTGTAACATGCTGTCACAGGTAACTGAGATCAACTCGTTATTCAAAACAAATCTAAATACGCTAAAAATAGACATACATTGAAGAAATGTATACAGTATAATTTTCAACATATCACATAAAATAGTTGTTTCAAAAAATTGTGAGGTGTAATTTTAATTCAGTCTGTTTTTATCATTGTTCAGGGAGGAAAATTACAGACAAGAATAGGACTATTGATGATTTTATGTGGGTGGCTGGCTGATTGTCCAATTGCTGTGTCACATTTCCTAAGTAACACAGCAAATGTACCTTATGTATCCTTTAGTAGTTTGTTTTCTGAAAAATTGTTTTTTCAAGCTAAATGAGATTTTATAAGCTTGTATAAATATTTGCTGTTGATATCCTTAATTAATTGTGATAGCTCATCTCACAAGTCTCAGCAAGTGAAGGGGATGAACATGAGGCAATATGCCAAGGCCTTTGTGCATTCTTATTAGGAATTTGTATGTTGTACAATGATGACACAAGCGAAGCTTTTTCTAAGTAAGTAGAGTATCTCCATCTGTACCGTTAATTGTTTACTGTTGTGCAGTTTGGGACACTGCAGACATATGTTGTTTTAAATACTTTGAACAATAGAAAAAAATTTCATTATGTTTATCTACAGCATACTGCAAATTATATTTTACATGTGATGTTAATTTATTTTCCAGGACAGCCTTAAAGCAGATTTTACAGAATCGTATTGGGCTAGAATCATTTACAGATAAGCTTACTCAAGTTGCACAAAATGAAAATTACACCAGGGCTGCCAAAAAACCACACCTGTATCACAAACATCCTAGTGAAATTGTTTTTGATTTTGAATTTACCAGACTTTTCAAAAGCTTAGAAAGTAAGGGCTTATTTTATATTTATCAAACATGCATTTTTGTTAACTAAATCATCCAATATTATAATCTTAAAAGGTATTATTGCAGATAGTACCTTAGATATTTGTGTGAATATGCTCATTTCGATCATCATCTCATTTTTTCCCCTTTACAGATGAGGTATTAAAGGCAGTTTCTGGTACAGGCAGTAGTATTAATGGAAGGAAATCTGGGGGGCCAAGTGTTGAACAGTACAAAACTTTAATGAAAGAACAAGAGGATCAGTTGATTATTTTAAGACAGAGAGTGGAGGAGTTGCAGACACATACAATAGGTGCTGATAAAACTATAGTGGAACTTCAAAGACAAGTGCAACAGTTGAAGGACCAGAATTCTCTGCTGAAGGCTCAGAGAGGTAATTGGTTGATGATTATTACCTCACATTTGACATGTATTCTAATAAATATTTGTACACATTTTGAATACTAGATTTACCTTTTACTGTAAAAAAACCCCAATTATTTTATGGTTTAGGAAATCAAGGCAGTCCATCTCAAACAGGGGCAGGAAACACAGAAGACATTGAAAGCTTGCGTAAAGAAATTACAGAACTTAAATTACAAATACAAGATAAAGATGCCCAGCTGTTGACATCTGTAAGTTTTAGTTTTTCATTTTAGAAATCTACCTTTATTTTGTATTATTTCAGTTTCAGTAAATATATTTAAATTCAATTTAAAACATTTCATTATTTTAAAGTTATTGTGTATATTAATGAAAGCTGACAACCTATGCTTTATAAAAGTATTGTGCAGTGGTTGATGATGTGATATTGGCAATTCTATATCAGGCTGTAGCTCTAGGTGACAGAGATGAGAATAAAGAGAATAACCCTGACAGTACAGCAGTGCTACAGTCATCATTAGCCAGGTTACAGGGAGAACTTGCCTCTAGGGATGCACAGATTAGTCTTTTGCAATCAGAGTTAGATAAAGTCAATGCACTTTTGCTACAAGTAAATCTTTTTGATTACTTCCGTCATGTTTACTTAACAGCAAATGATATATTTTTCTTGAACAATAAAATTATTCACCATCAGTTAACATTTAACTAAAATGTATCCATTGCAGAAAGACAATACCCAAGTAAGTGCATCTGTCGCTGACAGTGATTCTAGGATCCAAGAAGTTGAAGCTAAACTAAAAACTGTCACAGAAGAAAGAAATAACTTGCAAGAAAGGCTTAAAAAATCAAATGAAGAGAATTTAAAGCTAGCAAATACAATTAGAGTAAGTTTTTTTTGTTTCCATTTAAATTGAGTCTGTTATTTTTGTGTAACATAATGCACATTTTTTTAAAACTAAAAACTCAATATTTTTTTCTAGAATTTAGAAGAGGAGAAAGTATCAGTTGATGAAGAGAAAAATAATTTGAAGGAAGAAATGGAAAATTTAAAGAAAGAACAAGATGACCTCTTAGTGCTATTGGCAGATCAAGATGCTAAGATTGAAAAGTTTAAAACAAAGTTGAAGGAGCTGGGTCAAGAGGTATGTTTTGTTCAGTACAATATTCTTCATGGAGGCAATTAGTTCAACAGTTCTTTATAAGCTTTTGTTAAAAAATCGTATTCCTTGAAACAAGCTTTACATGTACATAAATAATATGTGTTAAACAGTGGAGATTCAGCATGATAGCTATAGATTTGACCTATCCTGCTCGTGTTACTTGTTTTTAGTTAAGTGATATAATTATAAAGTTCTCTTATGATGCTGAAATATCTTTTTAAATATTAAATTTTTAAATATTTTTTTAAGGTGGAAGATGATGAAGATGATGGTGATCTTGATGATGAAAATGAAGATGACCTAGACGCTGACTGATCACATTAAAATCACTATCTTTTGACCAAGTTAGCATGAGAGTTGTGATATTCAAACTAAATATTTTCAGAACATACAGAAAGTATTAACGATTTCATTAATACATGATACACAATGTATCATCTTGACGCTATAAAATGTGATGACAGCATATGTTATATCACTTATTGTTTAATGACCAAATAAACATATTTTAAAAATTTGCAACTAGGGTAAGAGAATTTGGTCATTCTTAAAAGCAGGCTGTTTTCTTATGTAAATATTAGTCCATTTGTGTTATAGAAAAAAGATACTAAGCCATGGTCCTAAGATTAAGTTAAAAGTTTTTGTCTCCCGAGAATGTAGTTGCTAGTCTGCATTATGACTTGTTTTTTTAAAGTATGAATGAATTTTTTAATATAATTTATAAAGCTTTAATAATAGAGAAATTTTTGTTATTTATGGTAAGAAATTAAATGCCTTAAAAAGAGTTATTTAGATTAAAGATATTTTAAACAATATGAACATGTAAATAAATACTTTAAGTCAGATATTTTTTTATCTTAGATGTCAATAGTAAGATCTACACCATTAAAAAGAAAATAAACAGGTGTTGGTTTTTTTTTGTTTCACCATTTTATGATGATTATTTTTAAATGTGTAGTATTTTATGAATACATTTATTTTAACAATTCTTTAAGTTGCTGAAACTAACTTTAATGGCTTTATTTTTATGAGGAAACCTGCTTTGTTCCTTTTTATATTTCATGTTACTGCTTATAAAAGAAGAAAAACACTAAAAAGTTGTAGCTAAGAAAAAACAATTCCAACTAAGATTATGAAATTGCAATATTTAGAAATGAAATCTTGGTGCTTGATTCCTAACTTAAATTTTAAAAATCTTTGTTTAATAGTGTGACAGTTTTTTTTTAGTGTTGTAGTTCTATAAGAATGTTTTTATAGGAACCTTTATAAATATATAGACATTTCTTACCTAGTCTGGACTGGTTGGTAACCTGAATGAGCAAGGTTTTCACTATCCTTTATGCTTTAAGATGATAGGATAAGCTAAAAATATAATTTATTGTGTGCAATGCTGCTTTGTTGAATGGAAATTGTAGAACAAGGACAATGCCATGTTGTTTTAACTGAAGTTGTATATATAGGAAAAGCTCAACTTTCAGCCTTCAGTTGAACTTAATCAATAGTGCCTGGATTACTGTTGAGATGGTATTGTTATGTTTTGATTGATACTTAAAGAGTAGTTGTAATGTTCCCTCTTTAATTTGGTGTGAACAATTTTCTAACCAGTGTCATATGCAGTCCGAATTGAGCATTTGAATAATTTAGTTCTAAGCTTGAGACCAAGATTATGTTAAAGGATACATATCTTTTGGTCAGTAAGGGGTTAAAACAGAAGAATTAAAGCATTTATAATTAACAATTTTAGCCAGATCACCTGTTTTAAACTGTCACTGTACATAATATTAACCTGTACAAATCTATTTATAAATTTCTTATCGTTCTTTTTAGAGAAATATCATTGGATCATCTCTTTATGACCATAATTAATTATAATATATACCTTATTTCTTTGTCATTGTGTATTTATGTTTTCCAAATGTTAAATAAATGACCTTATGAAGCTAGCACACCATTTTTAGTACTCTTTATTAAAAAAGCAAATAACATTTGTCTACCTTTATCCATTGTGTGTCAGACCATGAGCTTTTAACTTTTAGGTGTGAAATAGTTATGGATTATAGTTTTACTCTATTCTGTGTTTATATCATCCATAACATTGAATTATTGATGCCACCTGACAATTTTGGTACATTGCAATTGTAGACATTGCATGACTGCTAACCTAGAAGTCTCCAGTTCAGACCCCTGAGTCCACCCATTCTAGTTGGGTACTTAACTGTTATTAGGGAAAGTAAAGGTGGCTGGGTTTGGAACTTACTCATGCCAAAGTCACTGAATCTGCCCTATTGACAGACTCAACAGGGTATCTGTATTTCTTTTTATAACAAATGTTTTTTAAAAAAGTACTTTAAAAGAAAATGTTCTATACTTAACATTGATTTTTATTTTTTTCTTTAAAAGCTAATGTGAAGTCTTCAGTATAACTTAAAGCATGAAGATAGTATTATTCACATTTAGACTATTAGAGGGTTCATCAGCATTGAGCTAAATACACTTTACAAAAATCAGAACAACCCATGTAACTATACCTATCTGTAAATACATTTTCTTAAATATTAGATCTGACATTAATGTCCGATAGGACAAGGTAAGACTAAAATGACTGCTAGGGTAAATACAAAAGCTCTTTAGTGTAGACATAATTTTAATGAAAAATTTATCACAGGTGTTTTGCTGCTGTAGTCTTATAGAATATACACATGGTAGTAAAAAATGTAAAAATGATTTAAAACAGTCAACAATGAACTTAATTATTTGCCTTATTTCTTTAATGTGGATTTATTTTAAAATATTTCACTTATTCATTTTACAATAATGTATGTTTAATTGTTACTTACATTTTTCACAATAAATTACATATGAAGGAATTACAACTTTCTAAAACATTACATTAATAAAAAAAAAATTTGAATATAAAATTCACACATTTACATAAAACTACAATTGAAACAACTTTTCTTGACAATAAAGTACCTAATGTCAGAAAGCATGTGTAGATATAAATGAAAAATTTAAATTACTCTTGTGGGATAAAGATATTAAAAAGAATGCTGATGGTAAGAGACTACCTAAAATTTCAGTACAAGACATAGCAAGTGATGAACACAAGCACAGAATTAAAATCAAAACAAAAAAAGCTAGAATTAAAAAATACTTTACAATTAATAAACATTGTCAAACAAAAAAGTTAAACATGTACATCAACACTCAAAAATTGTAAATAGATTCATATCTTAAATTTTGGCAATATAAACAATAACACAGGTAAATTAACAAAACAAGGTCAAAATCAAAACTGAAAAATGTCTTATAGTCTGATCCTGATGTTTATTTTCTAGGAAAATAATGTTCTTTGATTACTTTGATGGTAGTGAAAGGTAGACATTGTTGTCATGTATTCAATAGGGTTTTAATCTGGCTTTACAAACTATACAACAGTAATGGTACGATAGTTTGTGATGTTCACGGATCTGAAAAAAGATTTTACAATTTTTTCTTAAAATATATTTTCAAGAATTTTTACAATAGGCCTATATATTTTGTAAAATGTTAAAATTAAATAACAAAATATAAAGATGGCAAAATTATTGTCAAATAAGCAAGCAGTTTAATTAATGCACAGTTAACATTTATGAGATAAAAAAGGATACGAAAATCACTGAAGATAATTTAAAGCTAGTTTAGAATCTTAAAATGGAATCATAACATTAACCAAATAATATATTGACTGCTTTAACATGAGTAAAAATGTACCTTGTAACATTCTGGTTCACAATAGAATTGCAAGGAGTAGATTTCGGGCCTGGAGGTGGCACAAACTGTTTGCCTATTTTATTAACAACATTGACTGGTCGCTTATACTTGATGCCATATGGGTCTGCTGAGTGCGATGGGTAAGGGTCAAATGTACCAGCCTTCATTCCAGCAAGCTGTAAGAACAAATTTGATTGTAAAAAAAATAAAAATACTTCCTTAAATTCAAGAAAAGCAAGGTTGAACACTGATTTAAACTACTTCTTTAAACAATCTTTGAAAATGAAAAGTAGAACTTACATTTTTACCAGGGTTGCTAGGGCGGAAAGGAGTCGTGATAGGCTTCTCAGGGAGATCTCCTGCCCATTTCCTAGGGGCAGGAACTCCTACATCTGAGCGGTAGGGATTTGGAGAGAAATAATCAGCAGGGTGCATGTTGAGCCGGAATGCTCCAGCTTTGAGAGCTGCCTTATGTTTAGCTAGATCTTGCTTTAAAAGTACAAAAGTAAAAGAATAAGAATTTTAATGAAATATTCATACTTATTGAAACATTTAAAATGAGAAAAATAAAAAAGATTTTCATTGACAGAAAATGTATCAAATAGTATTTTTTTAATTGATCTTAACAATATTTAATTTTGTATGAATTTGTAGAAATAGTAGGCGAAATAACATTACATTTCTGAAAATACATATTTACATACATTTTTATAAACTTAGGCATCTAAATTTTGTAATATTCTTGACTTGTGATTTCAACTTAAAAAAAAATATTCTGATATCACTCAAACCGAAGTGCAATGTAAAAAAAAATGTTGTGAGATATAAATAATAAAATGTATTTAAACAATTTTTTAAACTGATTTTATGAAGTGCACAATAAGGGGTTAACTAATTTTCTTTAAACATTCTGATTTTTATTTCAAGAAAAAAAGCTTCTATAAAATCATCATCCTTATATCATAATGTTTGACAAAGTACTTTTATTTTATTTGACACTAAATCAATTAAAATTATGAAATAATTTTACATTATATGTCATTAATTCTCAAATAAAAAATTTGCAGTTTTAAAGTAACAAGTCAGGCATTTAGTAGGCAATGCTGTTCTTAAGGAATGACTAATAAAAAAATGATCATAAGAAAACAACAAAGTTTAAATATAGTAGCCTACTAACATCTATTTTGTAAAGAGACAACACAATACTAACCTTATACATCATAATTCCTTTATTATAATCATCTGCACCATGTGGTGGATATGGATTCAAACAAATATTCACATAGCTTCACACAAAGCAAAAATAATGTGAATTATTAATAAAAAGCAGCACAAGCAATAAAATGTAAAATTTTCAAACCACACAACTCATTACTAAGCATGCTACAGTAAAATAAAAATTGTGTAAATGTGTTTTTAGTGCTGAAAAATGAAAAAAAAATTTGAACAGCTAATTCCAAACAAAAAGAAAACCAAATGTTTTCCTTATTTTCTTTCTATACCAAAGTATTCAATTTTTAAACAGAGCTATAATTTCATGTTTCTCTAAGATGGTCCTCATTGTTAACTTAAGTCAGAGAAAAATATTATCTGGTTGTAAAACATACTTATAAAATACAATAATAAGATATGTAGGCCTACTGTAAAAAAATGGGTGAAAACATCTTGATTCATTGATAAAAAAGAACAACACATATCAAAATAAAAAAAAACCATAAAATGATAAAAATTAAACTTATTTTACTAATACTAGACAAAGTGCTTGAGGAAATAAGAGTCTGAAATCTAAAGTTATCAAACACACACGGTTAGTTTAAAAGTGTATCATATGTCACTCAAGTGCATTTACACTAACCCTATACAATTCTTTGTCATTACTGTATGGGTCGGGCGGGCAATTAGGATATTTTCCTAGAGTTACTGAAATATATCTGAAAATACCACCAGTAATGTATGACATAAATGCCAGCATAAAAAAAAATTGTTGGTTTGTTAAACTTCCGCACAACAGAAATCTTTCATATAATACAATTTTATTTGATGATATATACATGTTAATCTCTGTTATTAATAAAAGAAAGAAGATATTTAAAAAAGTGGTCTTATTATCAGTATTTAAATAACAAAATGTAGGCCCATCCTGAAAGGCTATAAACTATATTATCTTTGATGCATTAAATATCACTATACATTTATGGAACTTCAATTATAAAAGCAATAACTGTACAAGAAACATTCCTTTTTTAAATTTAGTTTGGCTTGATATTTTTAAAATAATTTTTCACACCCCCTATACTTTATCAAAACTCAAGATTTTTAGATTACAAATTGAGTGCTGTACATCTTTCAATGACCCAGTCATAAAAGTTAGCATTCTGAATGTTAAATTATGACTGCCATTTTTATATTTGAGGAAGAAATAATCTATTATTTTATTAATAGCCACCTTATAAAGAAAATAAAGAAACAATTATTAGTCTGATGAGACAAAGGAGGACATTTACTTTATCTATCTGATATTTTTTAAAATGAGTTCTCTTTTTTTCTGACCTGATAGTCAATGTGGCAGACAGATTTTAACTCTTTCTGTGACTGCAGCTAATAAAATGTTGAATAGCTGCACTATGCTTAGCTATCTATATTACAATATTACCCTTATACTTTACCCAAAATCAAGATTTTCAGGTTAGCTATTGAGTGCTGTTTTAGTGCTCCTTTTGCCCCATTTCAGTAGTAAAAATGAAAACAGCAACTGGGTTTGGTTGTAATTCTCTAGTAAAACCCGTAGCAAGAGCAATCAGGAACATTAAATCAAATGATGATATAGATTAAGTAATTTAATTTCTTACCCATAGCCTGTGCCTTTTTTACCAGGATTAGTGAGTATATTTTTAAGAGGTTCTCTTTTAGAGCCAGATTCTTTAGATGCAGGACTAAAAGATGACACTGTTCCTCCTAATGTACCATAAAATGTTCCAAGCCCATTCCTATTTAGATTTTATAGGAAGATTATTAATTGAAGAACATATTTGTAGCAAAACATTTAGTTTAAATCAGAAGTGTAGCGAGGGGGGGGGGCAGGGGGTGCGGACCGCACCGGGTGACACCATGTAGGGGGGTGACACCAAGGCAAATAAACCGGGAGTGATCTCCCCTAAACTTTCTCGAATATTTTTATATAAAATAACAGGGGATGGGAACTCGGGCTATAGACATGATTTTTAATCCATTTTAAAAGTTTTAAAAATAGAATAAAATCTCGTAGACAAATTAATTGCACACCAAGTGAACGCGAAATAAAAAAGCGCATAATAGTGCGCAATATTATTAGTACTTTTAAAATTTACATTAGTTTTTTGAGAAATCGGAAGTAGCGTAAATTACTACTTCTGGTCAACGGAAATTACTCAAAATTTAACAGAAGGTAGAGAATTAGATCTTTTACTTACATGTGAAATTTCATTTATCTATCTGAAATAGTACTCAAGTTATAGGCTTTTGAAAAATTCAAAGTAGAAAAAGTACCACTTCCGGTTGTCGGAAATCGCTCAAAAGTTGATACGGATCTACGATTTTGATATAATACTTATATATGAAATTTCATCAACCTAGCTGTAACGGTACTCAAGTTATCGTGTTTACACACGGACACACACACAGACACACAGACACACACACACAGACATACGGACAAGATTGCAAAATTATGTTTTTCCGTATCAGTGAGGTGTAAAACGTCGAGATTTGTAAAAATCTCGATTTTTTTTTTTTGCACGATTACAATACTTTCTCTATACTACGTATATACGAGAAAGTAAAAATAGCAAAATATATAGAGAAAAACTTGAGGAGGGGTGCAAATCGAAAGTTTGAGAGGGGTGCAAACTGAAAGTTTGAGGGGGGGGGTGCAAATCAAAAGTTTGAGGGGGGTGACACCATTAAAAGCCGCACCGGGTGACACCCGACCTCGCTACGCCACTGGTTTAAATGTGCCCAACAACACTAAAGCTAAGTACTTTATTATGCAGTAATTGAGATCATATTACCATCAGCAAATAATTTATTTTTAATCAAAGATTTAGGTCTGCAATATAATAACAAAGTTATTTTTTACATTGTTTTGTAACCATTTGTTGGTAAGAATGCCTTTGATAAATTCTTTTTTGATTCTGACATACGGTGAAGTCTTCTAAGCTTAACTGGATCTGTGTAGCTTTCTCCTTCAAAAACCCGTCCAAATTTATCATTAAAATATCCATCTTGTTTGGCTGACTTTTCTTTTAAGCCCCCAGGCAGCATTTGCTTTCCTTTGCTGGCTGATTCATTAAAAACTCCTGAAATTTAATGTTAATTTAAAAAATTAATTAAAAATTAAAAACACAGTTTGCCCTAGTCTTTACCATCAGAAATAAGCCTTGGTAAACTATTATATTTTATGTTGACTAATATCATGGTAGTATTCCCACACACAACCTTAAAAAATAAAGGAATCTTTTAAAAGACTGCTGATTCTCTGCCTCTAGCTTTAAACTGGGTAGCTGTTACTCATAATGATTATGCTAATTGACCATTCCCACATAGTAGGCCCTATTAATTATTAAAATGATGAGGGTGGGTTATAGTTTAGTTATGGTAGCGATTCTTTTCATATATTGTACTGGGAATAATACTTTTAAAAAGTAAATGAAACAAAAAATAGTAGTAGTAGTAGTAGTCAGTAGTCGTAGTAGACTAGATCTAGATTTCTCTATATCAGTTTGAACTTACCCTGCCCTGGAGTCTTGAATGGATCTCCAACTGTGATATATTTCATTTCTTTGAATAAACCCACTCTTTCCATGTCTGATTTTCCTCCTTTGTCACCCATTTTTTAATTGTTACTGTTTACTCCAATTAAATTATAAAAATACTATAAAATGTTAAAGGGTTGAAAGTCAAAAAATGTACAGCAGAATCCTACACAGACACAGTATACTCAGTATAGAATATAGAATCTACTTGATCTAATCTAAACAGTACCCTGGACCTGCGGAATGCATGGAAAAAAAGTCAACTTTCCTTTTTAAAACTAAACAATAAAATTATTATAAAATAAATTAAAAAATTCTAAAGTAATCTAAAAGCCTGGCCTAAAAATATTTTACTAGATCTAGATTCAACTCATGATAACTCAAACTAGTAACTACTACTAGAATCTATAAATGTTTGTCACATAATGACAAAAATTAAGTCCATTGATGATTACTTGCAATTCTAAATTTTAAAACTTTACTGACAACAACACTAAATTTTCTTTTTCAGTCTTGTAGGATCAGACATGTTGTTGAAGTAATCTCTATGGAGATTTAAATCTGCGCATGCGAAGGAAAAGGTTTTGCTACAGCAAAATACAAAATGTATGTCGGAAAACTTGACGAAATTGGTTTGTGGAAGAACTTCGCTAATGAATTCCATGTTTTGGGACAACTTCTAGTCTCTAGACCTAGACTAGATCTAGATCTAGATCTAGAAGAACTAACGCCAAAAGCTAACTTATTGAAAAAGAAAATGTATTGAAAAATTTGTTTAAATAAAGGTAGAACCAATAACCTGTATTTAATATATTTAAGCATGATACACAATCGCTTTTTTATCTTTGGTTAAACAAAGTAAATAGATTAGATCTAGATTCTAGTTCTAAAAATAAAATCTAGCAAAATTCACTAATAATTCTCAACTCTTGCTATTGGATTTTTTTTTGGAAAATGAAAGTGAAAGTAGATCTAAATCTAGAATCTAGATCTATCTCCTAGATTATCTAGATCTAGAAAATCTAGATCTAGAATAAAAAAAATAATAAAAAATTTAAAGATCTAGAATCTAGATATCTAGATCTTGATTGTTTTTATATTTATTAGAATTTAGATTTTAGTTCTGGTCTTTTACAAACTTGAAACTACACTACACACATTTCAATTAAAATTTAGAATCTAAACTCTAACTAAACTCTAAACATTGTAAACACCCCATATTGCCATATTATATTGCCAGGTTAATTATTTAAAATATTAGGCTATTAAAATTTAATCAGGTAAGCAAGTTGTTAACTACTAAAAATAATGGACAATTGGGGCCTATTTTTAATCGTCCCTTGAATCCCGGGCAGAACGCCCCCCCCCGGCGTGGCCTCAACCAACCCCAACCGGTGGGCTTGTTGCTAATAGATAGAACCACTAGGTAACTAGTACTAGCAGTGAATTTAATAAAAACATAAGGCCTACTACTACTAATTAGTAAGTTCCTAGGGCTCTTGGGTCTAATTTTCAGATATTGTAACTATAAAATATAGTTAATATATACTATAGGCCTATATACCACCTTAAAGTTAAGGTTATTATACACTTATAGTTATTGTGGCAATGCTATCTTATTCATGGATTTTATTCCCCAGCCCATTACTTTATAATAGCTGTTATTTTAATTAAACTTACTAGGCCTACTATTACTAAACTTACTAACTAGAACCATGGGAGTTCTTATACAAAGCAGATTGTTTTGCTGTTAGTTAAAACTACCTTGATCAAATAGTTAAAAAAAAACTAGTTTCAGAAAAGTTGACTCCTAGGATCAGAAAAAAGGCAAACACATGTGTTACTTTGATTCCTTACCTAATCATATTGTACTTGAGTTATATGAGATTGTTGAGCATATTAATCAATGAGCAACCTAGTCCTGAATATTGAATTAACTTTAGCCAGAATCATACCACCTAACTCAAGAATCTAGTTTGATATTTCTTTTTTCATTTTTTTTTACCCTTCGTTAAGTAAGGTTACAATATAGGAAAATGCTGTGTGATTTTTACAATTGTTTTTTGATAAACTTTTGCATATTACTGTTGACCCCCTAATTTCTCCTCTAAGAATCCTGAAAACTTGCACTTCAATTTTGATCTGAGAAGAAAGGAATTTAATCAAATATGTGTGTTCAACAAACATAGTTGAGTAGTTTACTTAGACTGATGTTAAACCCCTCTTCTGTGTGAGGTAATTTAACAGAACATGGTATCAGCTTTTGGTATCAGCTATTTCTAGGTACCAAAGTTATAATTTTTGGTTGATTAGAACTTGACTTAATAAATGTAGACAATGTCGGCACTACATTTCTTGCATCTTAGTTCTTGGGGCGCAGGTTTTTTCACACTACCGCCCAGATGGCCCAGGGTGTGCTGTATGGAAACCTGGAGTGTATGTTGTTCATTCACCATAAGGGTAAGGTAGAACACCACTCTGCATTTGGCTGTCTGCCTGAAGGTCTCAAATTCATGTCTTGGTACAGACTTGTGACTATAGGACGTCCCGGAGTCCACCCAGCTCTGATGGGTACCAGACTTACATTAGGGAACGTGCCGAAAGTCTCCCTGGTGAAGTTTGTCTGATGATTCAAGCAGAATCACTGACCTCATGTGCAGCACCCAATCAGCGGACCCAAGATGCTAAGGTAGCAGCGGAGGAAATTGGGGCGCCCAACCACATACTACAGCAGGAAAGCCACCCCATCTATATTTTAAATTTTTTTACTGCCAGAAACCTTTGTGGGAGTGTAGCATGTAGGAATGCATATATGACATAATTGACAAAGGGAAACGACTCAGTTAATATTTTTGTAAAAATTAGCTTAGTTTGGTTATATCACCTTCATTATTCGATTGGGGGTAAAGGAGGGACCTGTTATATGAAAATTGAATATGCCAGAAACTTTTGCTGGAGTGTTCTCAACTTCCTCCAAAAGTTTTATAGTGATCAGATGAATGGTGTATTATGTATAAAACACAATTTGGCTACAGACAGACAAATTGACAATCGTATATATATATTTAGACAAAAATTTATAACAATTAAGCTGGAACAATACAATTTTAGTCTTAACTGCCGCCCTCCTTTTTAAATTTTGTCTGTTTTCTCATTGTTAAAGTATGTTGATATGATCCTGTATATTTTCAGAACTGCAAGCTGTGTAAAATGGCAGACCCTGACCCAAACTCCACTTTTAGAATTTTGATCACATCTGATGTCCATCTTGGATATATGGAAAATGACCCTATCCGAGGAAATGACTCAATTGTTACATTTGAAGAAATCTTATCCATAGCACGTGAAAAGAAAGTAGACTTTGTCTTACATGGTGGAGATCTTTTTCACGACAACAAACCTTCTAGGACAACACTTCATGCATGTTTAGCCTTGCTTCGTGAATATTGCCTTGGAGACAAACCAGTACATTTTGAGTACTTAAGTGATCAATCTGTAGATTTTAAACATTGCAAGTTTCCAACAGTTAATTATGATGATCCTAATTTAAATGTTTCCATTCCTGTGTTTTCCATTCATGGAAATCATGATGACCCAACTGGACCAGGCAATTTGTGCTCACTTGATCTGTTACATACTGCTGGTTTGGTCAACTATTTTGGAAAAGCAACAGCTTTGGACAAAATTCAAATTTCTCCGTTACTTCTACACAAGGGTCAAACAAAACTTGCTCTCTATGGGCTGGGATCAATAAGAGATGAGCGTTTGCACAGAATGTTTCTCAAAAAGGTACGAAGTTTAAGAATTAGAGAGTTTATTAGTTCAGATTTTATACCTATTTTTAAATAAGATTGACCTAAAACTTTAGTTAAGCGACTAGATACATTTTTGAACTTGTAGATTGTCAACTGTTTTTTAAATTTTAGGATGTAGTCTAAATATAATAACTTTTAGGATGTAGTCTAAATATATATTTTTTTAAATTTGTAGATTGCAGACTCAGTTTTTCAACTTTTAGGATGTGGTCTAAATGTATTTTTTAAACTAGTAGATTGTCAACTTGTTTTTTTTTTTAACTTTTAGGACGTAGTCTAAATATACTTTTTTAAACTTGTAGGATGTGACTATGCTGAGACCTAAGGAGAACCAGGACAGCTGGTTCAACATGTTTGTGTTGCACCAGAACCGAGCTAAACACTCTGCCACCAGTTACATTCCAGAACAGTTCCTCGAAAGCTTCCTTGACCTTGTCATTTGGGGACATGAGCATGAATGTAAATTGAATATCCGGGAAGAAAAAGTTGAGTGGAATCCAGTCCAGGAACTTTATATTTGTCAGCCAGGGAGTAGCATAGCTACATCTCTTAGTGAAGGTAGGTTTTAATTGTAAACAATCTTGTTGTTTGAATATGAACATAGTATTTTAAAGGATGATTTCACAGCAAAGCATTCTGTCTCACACCAATGATCTTGCATTTTTTGGGTTATTAATATGCCAATATTTATTTGGCTAGGCATAGTGCTTCATATGCCGAGGACACAGAAACAGGTGGACTCGACTTATTTTGCCTTATGGACCATTTAAAATAGGAACTTTACTTATATGCCTATTGGAAGTTTTTTATAAGCAGTTAATCCTTTTAATATACAAATAAAGTATATAGTCTAATATTTCACCACTTATTTGTAGGTGAAAAAGTTGCTAAACACGTAGGTCTACTTGAAATAAATGGCAAAAACTTCAGAATGCAGTCTATACCTTTGAAGTCAGTTAGGCAGTTCTACATGGATGATATTGTGTTGTGCAAGCATATCCAACCCACAGATGCTAATTCACAGAAAAAGGCAGAAGCTTTTTGTGTTGAAAAAGTTGAGGCCCTCTTGGAACAAGCAGGTACTTAAGATAAAAAATTGTTTGATTGAGAGATATTTTGTTTAGTGTAATATCAGCAAAGTCTTGCGCTGTTATTCTGTTAGTAATAAACTACATATGCTCGTGGGTCATGAGTGAGAAATGTCAAGAGTAGAAGGCCTCTTCAAATGGAGATTTTAATGATATTTTATCTCTTTCAAACCAGCTCACGATTACATACAGGTTTAGTTATAGAAAGTAGCACAATATTCATTGATATTAAAAAAAAAAAACCCATCACAAAATTTTGCCCAATGCTTGAGTAAAAATGTTGTTTGATGCATTCATTTCTATGCTGTTTTCTAACTGTTGCACCTACCAAAGCTTTACTTTAAATTTCTTCTTTCAAAAACTTTATAAAATTTATAACTTTACTTGAATGAGGTTGCATTGAAAATGAAAATGATAAAAAAATTGTTATTGAAGAGGCTGAACATTCAGGAAGTAGCAAACAACCCAAACAACCACTTATTCGAATTAGAGTCGATTACACAGGATTTGATCCCTTCAGTTCTCAGAGGTAAGCATCAACAATCAACACTAGCAAGAAAAACTGAAAACTTTTATTTCAACAAACCGATTTTATATAGCGAAAATTGACCTTTGTAATGTGAACAATATCAATACAAACATGTCAGAAAAAAAAACACATTCTATATTCATTCTTCAAAAAGGATTCTTTTTAATTAAATTTTTTACCTAATATCATCATCATCTTTTCCCATTTGTGCCCAAGTCACAATTAAATAAGTTTGTTATTATATCTGAATTACAACTTTTGTGACATTTTAAAAAATAGATCTTATAAACTTATATGTTATCTACTATACTATGTAGTCCTTTTATAGTATCTATTTGAAATGTAGTGCTGGCTTTTAGCTGAAGCAAGTTTCAACGCACGCCTAATTATAAAATGTAATGATTTTTTTTAGATTTGGACAAAAGTTTGTTGACAGAGTGGCTAATCCAAAAATGATGGTCCATTTTCATAGGCAGAAAACTGAAAGATTAAAATCAGGTAGTTGTTTAATCTGTGTAATTGAATCATTATTTAAGAGAAACATATTGTATAATGCTAAACAATATGTTTTTTTTAAAATAAAGATCCTGAATTATTTGCAAAAATCAAGAATATTCCTCTGGATAGCTCAAGAGTTGAGGACATGGTGGCAAGACTTGTGTCTGCAGAAGGCGTAAGTTCTTTGATTATTAGAGCATGATTCATTTTCTAAAATAATATTTAGCAGCAGTATACAATTTTTTCTTCACCAACAAAACTAGAAATATTTTAGTTTATTTCTCTAATTTTAGCAACTCACAACACACACTGACTCACTGTTAGCAGCAGTTTTAGTAATATAAAATTCATTTGTATTTAAATTTTGTGTGTAGCAGCATGTAGAGCCTACACTTAAAAATGAATGATAAAGCTGTAATGCCACAAAAAAACAACTACACTAAATTTTTAAAATAAAATCATGACAACATTACTATTTCGTGGAAAGCTAACAACTTTTTTTTTAGCCAGAAATAATCAACCAACCCAAGAAATATTCTGAACACTAACTGAATTTATCTAAATAATAATGAATGCATTTTTTACAGTACCAGCTGAAACTTTTGAGTGAGAAAGGAATGGGAGAGGCAGTAAAAGAATTTGTAGATAAGGATGAAAAAGGAGCAATAGGGGAACTGGTCAAATACCAGTTAAAAAAGACACAGGTAGTGCTTGTTGCCTATCTTAATACAGTTACATTTACTTATAAATCTCTCAATGTTTGTTTTTTAATCTATACACATGTTGCTTGTTGAATACTTGTCTACCTAAAATCTTCACTTATCGCAATTTATGAGTAAATTTTGTTACTTGATTATCTGTTTTGAAATTTAAATATCCTTTGTAATAATCAAATGTCTTTCTTTAAGGTGTTTTCATTAAAAAATTTTTAAAATATTTAAACAATTCCACAAAACGTTTATCATGTGTTTTTATTTAATGGCTAGATGCATTTACAAAATCGCAACACCTCGGAAGATAGGATTGATGATGAAGTTGTAAGATTTAAAGAGGAGAGGAGAAAAAAGACTGGTGAAGAAGAAGAGGAAGTAAAAGAGGCCATAAAAGTGGCCCAATCCAAACGGGAGTCCCAGGCCAGTAATGGTGATGATGACATGTCTGATGATGATGTCAGCAACCTGGATGAAAGCTTGGGCTCTGCTGCTTCAACCACTGGGAGAGGGAGAGGGCGAGGTAGTCGAGGTGGGGGGAAAGGTCGTGGAAGAGGAAGAGGCGCTGATAAAGATGATGATTTAGGTAGTTTTTTTTTGTTTTTTGTAAAAATATCTGTTTGTGTCTGAATCTGAATGTCATATATCCCCATGTTATAAATTATAATGAATAGAAATGTTTATTAGCTGCATATTAAAAAAGAAACCTAATATGAAATGTTTTGAATTATTTAGACCAGAGCAGTAGCAGACCAGCTCGTGGTAGAGGATCTCGTGGTGGACGAGGAAGTAGGGGAGGTAAAGCGGCAGTAGTTGCTGAGTCAGGAACTAGGAAAATTCAGTCCTTTTATCAGCCAGCAAGCTCAAAGCAAAGTTCACTGTAAGTAAATGTTTGTTATTGGACCCCACATAAATGACACTGTGTCATTTTTTTTAAGCAACCTGAAAAGTAAGCCTATACATTTTGTTGTTGCATTAAAACTAATCGCTTTTTATTTGACAACAAAGAAAAATAACAAAAATAATAAATTTATTTTATAATATTTCGTCTTTCAGTATTTAGCTGCAATGTATGTATGACAATCATATATCTTAATAAACCAACTACAAAGTATTCTATATATCCAGTACTTAAATGGTTGTAAAGGACATCTCTTTTTTATAATAATTATATTTTGTCTACTCATGACTCAAGGCTTTTACAAATATTTTAATCTTGTATTTTCATTCCGAATGATTTAAAATTGGTTCCAATGCATTACATTTTAAATCATTTGCTTAATATAAAGCTTAAATACACTGGACTTTTCAGCAGAGATGATGAGGATTCCATTATATTAGATGACAGTGAAGATGAGTGGTCCTCTGTTAGCAACACCAAAACCAGCAGAAATGTGGGAGCCCGAACTGGAAAAAAAAGAGAAATAACATTTGTAGATTCAGACTCCGAAGAGGAAACAATGGTTAGGCGGAAAAAGAAATAACTTTTTCACAAGCTTTTGAAAATCAGAAAAATATTATCCTAACCACATTAGCTATTGATGATTCCAGAAGTGCAATTAATCACATCAGCAATCATTGTTAAGCTTTCAGACATTAAGCTTACTAAAAATCACATCTCATGATAAAATGTGTAGATGCTTGTAGATTATATTTTATTATGTCATCTTTACATTTATATTTTAATGTAAATCTAATCTTTTGTTAACAGTAATATTTGATTGACAAGTTTGTAGAAATAATGATTGTAGTAATGTGATTATATTTTGAAAATAATTTAAAATAATGCTGAGGTCCAACATCTTCCTTTACTGTTTCTACATTGGACAAAAATATTATGTTTTAATTTTCTGTAAATATAGTCCTTATGAATATCAGGATTTCTTGTACAAATATTTTCCCTTCTACAATTATAAATGGAGGATTGCTTGTTTTTGAAAGATTTTTAAAAATTATCAAAAACTGTACTTTGTATGCAAATTTTTAAAATGGCAGCTTTGAGTGTGTTTGAAAGTTTAAAAAATAAATTCTGTTACAATTTTTAGGTGTTCATGTAGTAGGCTACTTTATTATAATGGTGCTCTGTTGAGGCTTGAGAAACTACTTATAAAACCTTATTTAACAAGGTATACCATTTCTACAAATCCATTTAGTTTTTGGTCTACATAATGTTTTTTACATTGTAAATAACAAAAAAAAATATCTATCATGTTTAAAAAATGTAAAGGGCATTTCAAATACTTTTTTGCTTCTCAAACTTAGGATTATCTTTATTACTTCTATCAGACTGTTCTAGTTTTTGGGACTTAGGATTGAGAAATCTATTATTCTTTTTAATCTTGTTCTGTTGAACAATGTCCAAACATTGCAAGTATAATATTTTAAATTTGAGTATTGTTTTATTACTAATTTCTTTTTTTTTTTACTTCTACTGTACAAGAAAAACCAAAACCAAAATTCTCATTAAAATTTAATATGAAAAAATTATGATTTATTGATGAGTTAAATAATTTTAAAATACAAAATACTATATTTTAAAATATTTGCTTTGTTATAAATTTGTTGTCAAAATTTCCTCTGTTAAAAACTTCATTCAAGTAGCTCTTATAGCAATTAGTAATTAGATTGTATACAACAAAAACAATAAGTGTACAGATTTCAATAAAAGAAAAGTGCTCATGAAAGTGTACACACTTTATTAACTACTGTAAGGTATTGGTAAAAACTGGATGGAATTGCATCTGTAAGCTTATAAATATGCTGGGGAGGAGGTGGCGATAAGGAAAACAAATTTTCTGAGAAAAAACATCTTTTTGGCTACATCTTACACAGTGACCAACTATGGAATCAGCCATCACAGGTGCTTAAATGTTTTGAAAAGGACGTTGGGTTTCTATAGGGTATCCCTTCCTGAATTTCACAAACTCTCACCAAAATCTTAAGCTGCTACCTTTTGCCTGTATTTTAATAATCAAAATTTTATTTTTATTACAGGCATCTTAAAAAAAAAAAAACAAACAAAAAAAATAAACGAAGGGACCTTATCCTATTTAAAATGTATGCAAAAAAGTTTCATCGGTTCTCTCCCATGAATTTAAATCGAAATCAAAGTAATGTTTTACATATCATAAGTCATAAGCCTACATATCTTTTGGAGCTGATAATTTTGTATGGAACTATACTTTCAAAATGATGGTTTAACCCCCCCCCCCCCCCCCCGATTATAGATACACCATAGAAACTCATTCTCCCTAAGCCCCCAAGATGACGTCATTTAGACAACTGCTATTAAAAAGGACGAAACTACTATATCTATTAGCTACAGCATTTATAACAATTACGTATTTTTGTTACAAATGAAAAATATTTATAATTAATTAAAGACCGTATTTTCCAGGTTAACATAATAGTAATTAAAAAATATTAGGCTACAAGTTTTAGACGTGTATATCTCTACAGAGAGGTCCCTAAGCCGGAAAACACTCTTTTGAGAAAGAAATCAAATCCAGTCATTATCAACAAATAATATGGCGTCGAATTCTGGTAGGTTTTAATTTTGTTTCGTCTATAATAAATTTATTGATTTAAAACACATAAAATACTTTAGTAGGCCAATACATTTATTTTTTTCGACACTTGCTGTTTTTATCGTAGAAGTTTTTACTCATACATTCAAAATTGAATTGAATGAGCATGAATGATGTTTTCAGTCTGTCTGAGTTTGAGCTTTCACTTTTTCAAGTTTTTCACGGCTATCTTGAAATCTTCTGTGTCTGAGGACTGAGGACCTCAGTGAGGTCTGTGACTGACTGAGACTTGACAAATCCTGATTGCTGTCCTAGAATCTCTTTAGATCTAGATCTAGAGTTCTAGAGTAGACTAGAGAGATAGATCTAGTAATATTAATGTTAGGCCTAATTTTTATAATTTATTTTCTATGTGAAGTATGTGTTTACATTAGGCCTAACTAAAATAAAACATATTTTTGCTAATTGTGTCTTCTTGGTTGTGGCCATGACTAAAAAAAAATCAAGCTGGAAATAAAACTTTTTGATGTTTAACTGTGGTGTTGGTTCTGTTCCTTATGGATCAAAGTTTGTATCTGCTTTTTTGTTCTATTTTACCTAGTAAATAAAGACTTTAACTTTTTGACGGTTTGGCGTTAAGGTTAGACATAAGGGTTAGGTATAGGATTAGGCATTATTGTTAGGGACTAGGTTAGATGTAAGGTCATTAAACCTACAAACAGAACATATTGAATAAATGAATTACGCACAGAAAAAAAAAATGCTTAGCTGTGAGTGGTCAGTGTACTGATAGCATTCTGAGAGTTCCATATTGAAATAGACCCTTTCTTGAAGCCTTATTTGCATGCAGATTAGTATCATTTTGCTTTGATGTGTGCTAATGTGATAAAAACACAATGTTTAGTAAGGAATTGATAACCGTGACAATTAAAATTTAAAATCAACACAGAGCTATGGCTTATCCTATGGTATTTTTGAAAATATTTAAATTTTTTGTATGCAGTTCTTAATGTTTGATTTTGGGATAGCCTTTTTACAACATGTATCTAAGTTTTACAATTTCCTGCTAGCAGGGTTCGTACGCAGTCTTGAAAGTCTGGAAAAAGTCTTGAATTTCAAAAAGTGAATTTAAGACTTTAAAAAGTCTGGAAAATCGCTAGTTTTTGGGCAGGATTTTTTAAAAGTCTGGAAAAAGTCTGGAATCTAGTTTTAGAAACAAAACTTCGTAGTCCATATTTTCCAACTTTAAAAATTGCTATTTTTAAGTAAATTTACTCCAATTTTTTTCCCCGCGCTATTGCGCGGGTTTATACTGTGTGTGACGTTTTTTCGCTGGTTCGCAGAAAAAATGCTCAGTTACTACGTCATTGGGAGAAGAGGGGAAGGGAGGGAAGAGATATTTTGTGGCACGACTGACCGTGTGAATGTGTTACAAGTACTTAAAATTGTCATTTAATGAAAGAATGATCGCCGTCATGATTGTTAGGCTCTCGATTTTACCCGCTATTTTTTCCTCGTTTGAGTTTGCATGCAGGCAGTCGTAACAAAAAGTTATGGGGGAGATGTGTGAGTGGTAGTTTAGATATAATTTATCAGTCTGTAAGGCGTCATCCATTTATGACTTACAACAATTTTTCGAATTTTAGACCCCCCCCCCCCTTCCCCACTCCCCCGCTCTCTGTCCACACGCGTTCACTTACTATGGATTAATATTAACATTTATAAGATTAATAAGTCGCAAGGCCTCCTTGGGTTCATACCTGTATTTCTGTTTGCTTCAGCTTAACAAAGAGGTACTATTTTTATTTAGTAGTCGTCTATAAATGACGTCACACTCCGGAAAGTCGGGAGGAGGGTTTTATAAAGTGTGACGACACGCTCTCGCAATAATGTTAGGGCAGATATAAATACCGTGTTTTATTTACATGCTGTGATGGTTTTTAAAACACCAGGACAGTCGTCTTAATTTTACATTCTACTCGCAAGATACAAGTTTTATGTTTGTTTTAGAATGTAATCACAAAATCTTCCGACCCCTTCCCCCCCTCCATGTGTACGTCATAAATGGATGACCCCTTTAATTTTAATTCATATTCCATTAAACTGTTTTTAAAATCTTTGCAAATGCTGTCGATTAAAGTTAGACTACCCCGCCCCTCCTTGTAACATCGGTCCCTTGTGTGAACTCACCGTGACCCCAAGTGCGTAGTTGGTACTGCTTGGTACGTTGGGTGGGGGAGGGGGTATAAGTCACAGCACAGTTCATGTTATGACGTATTAAACAGGCATACTGAAGTCTAGACTACTATGACCTCACAGTGACCCCTTCACCGTGTTGTGTCTGTGGGGGGAAGGATATCTGTGGAGGGGGGGGGGGGGGGGAAAGAAGGATACCGGCAACTTTTTTTTAATTGCAGACCCGTTACTCAGCTATTACTATAAGCACAAACAGTGAATGATTTTTTATTAATTTTTTTGCTCCACATTTTTTTTTACAAGTAGCCTATATTAGGCTACTTAACAAGAGCAGACCTAAATTAATACATAACATTTTTATTCTTTAAAGTAATTAACTCTCACTATTATGCAATACTATTTTAATGATAGTTTAATTGAAAAGATAAGCAATTAGATCAGGAACAGATTACATAGGTCTAATGTTGGAAACAAAATAGTTGCATCATTTTAATCAATTATTTTAATTGTTAAAATTTTAGGTAGGGTGGTGTAGGCAAACTTAGAAAAATGTTTTTTGTCAATTTGGCTAGAGAAAGTTCACTATGAATATAGCTCAATTGCCTAAAATAAATGTCAATTTAGTATAAGTAATTATAATGACAGTACAAATAGTGCATCATTTTAAAAAATTATTCGCTAACACATTATCTGTCTAAAGTCTGGAATTTTTCCAAAAAAGTCTGGAAAATGTCTGGAAAAAGTCTGGAATTTCATTTTCAAAAAGCAGTACGAACCCTGTGCTAGTTTTTTGTTTAAATTAATAAATTTTGGCTTCAGATATACCTTTGGAAGGCTCATCAGTAGATCCTAAATTAGAAGAACAAGCCCCCATAGTTTCAGAAATGAAAGAGGAAAACAACGCTACCCAGGACAAAGCCGCTGTACCACTCTGTACAGAGTTACAGATCCAGTCAATATTAGCTGCTGCTGGTCAGGGGGTTGGGGATGATGAAGAAGAAGATGCAAATAGTATGTTAAATTGGTTATTGTTTAAAGAGTTTAAAAGCTAATACAAAATAGTTTTAAAAACTTCCATTTTGATTATATCTCTATCTGAAGTTTTAAAAATTCTTTATACAAAAAAATGATTATCTTGACCAGGAATATTTATATAACAACATTTAAATTTTTTGTGTTAAATAAACTTTATTTCACAGAATGTTCAGAGTTAGAAAAAGTTGACTTTAATGTGATATTTAAAAAAGAAAAACATGAAGTTTCATTCCCTCTTGATCATACAATCAGCAAACTGAAATCTCATATAGAAAAATTAACAGGTAAAAAAATAGTATTTTTAAAATTATTCATACCTCACTTAAAAAGTTCATTGAGTTATTTTCTTTTTCTTTCTTTTCCATTAATTCATGCTTCTACCAATCTTTTAAAAATTTACAATGAATTAACTCCTTTTTCTTTCATATTTCAGGTGTTCCAGCTACATTACAAAAAATTATGTACAAAGGTAAACATGGATCTAATTATCTCTTGTTCAAAAAGGTTTTGCTTTATAAGCATAGGTTATAGTCATTTACATTAATTATATTAAAAATGATGGTAATTTTCAAGGTTTAACTAAAAATAACATTGATTTTTGTGTATCTCAGGTTTAGCAAAAGATGAAATGACATTGAGGGAACTGAAAGTTGTTAACGGTGCTAAGCTGATGGTTGTTGGCTCCACATTTACAGACGTCTTATCAGTCAGTGCACCCACACCTAAAGAATTACAAGCAGAAGAGAAAGCATCAGCCAAAGCAGCTAAAGAGCCTTTGTCTGAACAGAAAGTAGGTTTTCTTTCTAAATTTCTATATTCTGCTCTACTTCTCTTTATGTAGACAGTAAATAAAAAAAATAATTGAATTCATTGCCAGCAGTTTTATTGGTGGTCTGTCTTTAGCACACGAGTGAACATTTTAATGTATTACAGTTGTATTTGTTTAAGTTCTATTACATTTTGTATTAGCTTATGTAAATAATTTTTATATAAGTAAGATAAAATCATTGCTCTCTTTATGATGACCACAAATTTCAGCAACATAAAAAAGTTTTGGATAAGTATGGCAAGCCTGACGATGTGCCTGTGGGTATCAAAAACCACTCAGAGAGATTACCCTCCGTACCTCTATCTGGGATGTACAACAAGGCTGGGGGCAAAGTTCGTCTCACATTCAAAATGGAAGCAGATCAGCTCTGGCTAGGCACCAAAGGTTTGCCTTTTAGCACAATTTAAAGTCTATTACCATTTTTATTTTTAAAATGTTGTAAGTTTTCTGGATTAGCTCACAGGCATGTATTATAAATTTGTGTTTCATGTTGAAAACAAACAACCAAAAAAAGAAAACTTAAAAATTTTGGCATTAAAGAAATAACTTTATGACTCTTACGTCTTTTTACATTTTATTTTGCTTTCTCAGTTTCTAACTTTTGCGTATGCTAATATGACATCATTTGTTTCTCTGCTACATTTTACTTAGCTGACATTAAATTCTGAACAAATATTTTTGAATATGCATAATATAATTTGTTGTAGTTAGAATGCCATAAATCTTATTAATAGATATTAATATTTGTCTCAATTTCCAGAACCACACGTTTATAATTTTCTAAAATTAATATCTGAAATATTCATCCTTTTCAGAGAGAACAGACAAAATTCCCATGCAATCGATAAAAGCTGTTGTTTCTGAGCCAATAAAAGATCATGAAGAATATCACATCATGGTAAGTTGTTCAATCAGCTGTTTGGTTCACCTACTGGTTGAACTTATCTGGCTTAGTTCTATGCAGGTGAGACACCTAGAGATTTGTGAGATACCATTTTGTAACAGCTGTCTGATATTGCCATAATATCTGAACATGGCTGACCGCAGAAACCTGAATATTTCTACTATTGGGTAACCAGGTTTGAATAAACAGATAACTATTTTTCTAACCTCACTAACTCCCATCCCTGTCTGAGATGTTATCACTGTTTACAAGACTTGTATACTGATGAAGATGGGGGGGGGGGTGGTTGAATCGTCCACTGTCTTTCTAATACTAATTGTCCTTAGTTTGTGAAGTTACTAACACTACTTTCAGTGGTACAAAAACAAAAAGGATCATGATATATACAATAATGGTAAAATATCATAGACAACCCTAATGTTTTATTGTTATTCAATTATTTTTTAAAGTCCACATGCTATACTTGTAGGGGATACAACTTGGCCCTACGGAAGCGTCAAGATACTGGGTCTACTGGGTACCTGCGCAGTATGTTGAAGCAATCAAGGAGGCAATACTGGGGAAGTGGCAGTTCTTTTAACACTGTGTGACTACTTGCTGCCTACAAGTGTATTTATGTACAAGTGTGGTTCAAAAGCACTGAAAGTTACAAGGCTAAGTGTTGGTTGAATGTGTCTTTTAACTTTAATAAATTTTACTTTATATTTGGGGGATGTTTAATTTTTATACATGCCATTATGAAGATAGGTGTAGCGGTTATATAATTTCAACATTTCATTTGTGTTCTGATTTTTGAGCTAGTTTCTTTGGTTTTGAATTAATTCTTTTGTTTACTAATAACTGAAAACATTGATACACATTATACTTGTGTGAATTCAACATTTGTATTAACTGAACCTTTGTTATGGCTTTAAATGATAGTATATGCTTATATAAGTATATGTTGTGTGGAATACAGTGGGTTGTACAGAGAACGTAAATAGCACATGATGTTGGGGTTAAATGTCACGGATTATGAGATATACTTATGTATTTTAAAGAACAAAGGATACACATGAGAAAGTTTGGGATAAATCATATGGAAGTCCTGAGAATAAGTCTAGTAATGACCATAAGAATAAAATATGAAATACAGAAAATATGGGATAGATTTTGTTGAATGTGAACATAGTGAGACAATAAACAGTACATAAAATATGAGACATTATTACATAGAATCTGAGGTTCATTATGGTGAAGATCTCAGGTTTGCAAAGAGTGAATATAACTAGTCTTTAATTTCTTGTTTTGTTGTTATACCTGGCATAATAGTTCAGGCCATTGAATGGACTCATTTATCTTCAGCACAATCAAATTATTTGATCATTTAAAAATACTTGAAAATGTAATTTTCTGTCTTAAGTTAAATGAGTATTATGATTTCAGTCATATAAGTTGAAACTTGTATTTTACTCCAAAATTGCAGTTTTGTATTGTACTAATTTGTATAATGTTTTAGTTACATAACATTAATTTGGCAGGTGACATGAAATATTTCTATACTGCGTTGCCACGCTAGGTCTTATCCAGCCTTCATCCCTGAGTCTGAGGATAATTTTTTTTTAAATGGGAAAAAAGAACATTTTTTATTCTTGAATGTTTATTTTAATAAAATGATATTGTTTACATATTGTTAAATGACCTGTTTTATAATTCTTGAAGATAAGCAAATACTAAATAATGGTTGTGTAATTGTGTTTTTTATCAAGTTTAAATTGATTAAAAATGTGCTTTATACAGTTACTGCCAACATTACACCACACTATGTTAATACACTGCATTTAACAGACAGCATAAGTTGGCTGATGATTTTTTGTTTTGTTTCAGCATAGGGGGGTCTTTAAAAGAGCAGGATTAGATGATGTAATGTGTTTAAGTTTAAGCACTAAACACAATACAAATTTTAATGTAAAACCATGAGTGTTTATCATATAAGAATGCAAGCAGGACAGTAAAATTGTATAGAGATTTGAGATTAACGATCTGTTTGTCGCGTGGCAGGGCTGTTATTTAGACCAGGGATAAGATCAGAGTTTGTGATATTCAGAAAAATAAAAACTTGAGAACATCCTGCCAAATTTAATTAAATAACCGAATTTGTTACTCCCTTTATTTTAAGTTTACCAAGACTCATAGGAGCAGTTGGGATAATTAAAGTATTTTAAATTAAAACCTGATCTAAATGGGCTTATGTTGGTGAAAACTGACATAAGTTTATCACAGATAACATATATGTAACACAACTGTGTGCTGTCTTTGTCCTACTTACACCTAATGCAGAACACTAGCTGTGTAACACGCCCCACTACACATGTAAGTGTAACATTTTGTAAATTGCATGTGTAAGCCTCACTATTTTTTATTCATTCACATCCCACAGCTGATCTTAATAACCATATCTCAACCATCATTAATTAACCTTTTTTTTAAACCTATGATCTGTAAGGTTAGAGTTGAAGCTGACCTTTCTGTACTTTTCAACCCACATTCTCTTTGTTTTATTTGAACTATGTGTACCTGAGCCTTTGTTTCTCAGGCAGTACTTTGTTGCCATTTTTATTTTACTTTGTGCTGAAGATGATAGCTTTATTTTTTTTCTAACTTTTTTGTCCCAATTTGTTATAAGCTTCTAATAATCTGATCTCACTTTGAAGAAGACTTCTAAAAAATATGCATTTTTTTAAAAATTCCGTGTCGTGACCCATGTCTTATTCTGTTTATTTATAGAATAACCCATATTTTAAGACCCTTGTGTGATTGTACCCTGACCTTTGTTTGATTATTGACTGAACTTAAATGTGTTTTTTTAACCTGTAGGCCCCTAACTCTATTGATGTTATTTTTTTCATGTGCATATCCACAATACTGAACACTCCCCACCCCCAAGTCAAAGATTCACAAGGCACCTTGTGACAGACCCCCCCCCCCCCCCCCCTCCCTCCACTTATATGGACATTTAACCAGATGTCCTTTAACATGATCATTTGTTCCAAGAACAAGAGTCTTCTAAATCTAACATACTTAAAAGCCACAACTTTCAAGGAATATTTCTGCTACGTGCCTGTGTGAACCCATGGGTAAGGGGGACTCAGTGCACTAACAATTTGATGGAGTTTTATGACTCCTTCAACCACTCACCACTGATGATACATTTATTGATTTTTATAATCAAGCCAGACATTTAAGTCAATTGAATACAGGCTTGAACTGTCATAATGTTTCTCTGTATAAAGTCAAACTTGTTTTAATTCTGCGTTGGTTTTTTTTTTTACATGTCTAATATTTGTGACTAAAATCTGGTGATTCAAAGCTAATGTTGATAACTTAAATCTTGTATTGGTGACTAATATTGGTGATTCAGTTCTAGTATTAGTGACTCTAATCTGGTGATTCAGATTTAATGTTTGTAACACAGTTCTAGTATTGGTGACTCAAATCTAACATTGTTGACTAGCTGCAGGAGAGTTATTTGTGTTATGTGTCAGATGTAGGCCTGTAGAGTAGTAAATGAACAGACCCAAGCCAAATGACCTCATATATAGATGCCACAGCATATAACATGTGGAGTGACATCATAAGTTGATATTTTGGCCATGAACACAGGCGGTTTGTTAGGCTCTAATGACAAAATTATAATAAATGGTTTACAGTAAATTACCAAAACAGACTGGGTGAGCAATGACCTCCAAGTTAAAAATAGATTTTTGACGTCTTTTTGGGTGTACATTTTGTTTAACTCATCCAGTACATCAGCATGTGTGATGCCTGCAGTGACGAATAAACTAAATTACATCACAGGGAAAAATTTAAACACTCAAAACGAGGCTCTTTAAAGAGATTTTAATTGTTAACAACAAGCTTCTCTGTGCTGGGAACCATCTCGACGTGGCTGGCTGTGTAGGGGATGTAATTCGTATCTGGAAGTAAAACAGAGTTATGTCCTTGTCAAAACTACCTGTACAGTAGCGGTCATTCCCCACCTCACAATAAAAATATGAGTTATGAATCTGTATGCCCCCCCCGTTTATTACTGTCACGATAACCGTTATGTTCTTCATGCATAGCCATATGTCTTACGTCACTAGATCTAACCACCGCCTCCCTAACACTACTACTTTCTTCATGACGTCTCCAGCTTATTCGTGATATCCATGTGAACATCTTATTCCCTTCACACCACCTATACATATTCCCTTCACACCTACATACATTCCCTTCTCACCTACACATATTCCCTTCACACCTGTACATATTTTATTCCCTTCACACCTATATACATTCCCTTCACACCTATATACATTCCCTTCACACCTATACATATCTTATTACCTCACAGATATACATATCTTATTCCCCTTACAATTTTATCTCACCCCACATATAGGCCCACACACCGTATCCCATTACTTAACCTTCTAACCACCAAAGTCTCTCCCCGTGAACTCACGTCTAGGGGCAGCCAGCAGTGGCTGTGTTCTGTATGACCGCATGGGCTGCACTGAAGAGCGGATACTTCCCTTGACCACATGACTGACCGGTGAAGTCATCTTGACTTAGCTCCCAGAACATGACTCCACCGTAGCCGTTCTTCTTGGCGTAGCAGGTCTAGAGAGGGGACATTGCAAGACATGAATTCAGCGGGGCAGTTTTACAACAATCACCATACTATACAACTTTCACAGCATAGCTAATGACCGCACATTAATTTAGCAAAATAGAAAATATAACAATAGTAGTCAAACAACTTTTGTTTATCCGCCAAAAAAATAAAAAAATCAAATCGAATCATTTCAATAACACAGCACAATTTTTCTTTCCTCTTTGAAGAAGTGGTGTCTACCACACCCTGAGGAGAAAAATGTCTGAAAAAAGCCATTGACCATCAAAGAAATTTTGTCAACAACAAGGCATTAGTTACGGTAGTAGTGAAAGAACGAATTTAACGACAACAGACGAGTACAGCGTAAACAGACACGGTCGACAGCATAGGGACACATCAGATACCTTTAAGATAACCACGGAAAGATATCCAATTTAGCCACATCATTGAGATAACCACATAAAGAAATATCTAATTTAACCACATTATTGAGATAACCACCCACAGAAAGACATCCAATTTAACCACATCATTGAGATAACCACATACAGAAATATCTAATTTAACCACATCATTGAGATAATCACAGAAAGACATATAATTTAGCCACATCATTGAGATAACCACCAACAGAAAAACATATAATTTAACCACATCATTGAAATAACCACCACAGAAAGACATCTAATTTAGCCACATCATTGAGATAACCACATACAGAAAGACATCTGATTCCCCCCCCCCTGCATTACTGACATGTCACATCACTGCCAGCCATCTAATTAATCCCCAACTAAAAAATTTCACTACCATAAATAAAATTTTAGACTTCTCAAACGTTATAGGCAATAGAAAATTCGGGAATTCCCGCTTCACTGGGACAGCCAACAGCGGCCTGCAGAAACACAACACACCAAAGGTCACCGCAGCTTACCGTATCACCCTGATGGCGCTTACCTTTTCTTTCACGCTCTGCTGGTTGTCGTAACCGATCCAGTTACTGCCCTGGATAATATACGGGTTCCGTTGGTGGGTCTCAAATACTGGCGTGGCCCCCGCTTTGATCAGATCACAGATCTGTTGGTTCACAGAGCGAGACAAAATGGGATAAATAAACTGTTGATCTAAGGGATCAGTACACAGTCGACGGTCTGTTTTTGTTTTCATAGCTAGCCATGTCTCAATTGTTGGGAAATTGCAGCCAGGGGGGGGGGGGACTGGCCCGCCTATCTACAGGGAAAAATCCATTTGGGTCCACAGGTAAAAAGAAATCACGGAGAGTCCACAGGACGGTGCTGTAGTAAGCTTTTGATTTTAAAAAAATTGTCCCGTGAAGTTCCATTAAGCTGAGGATGATCATCAGACTTTGATGTTAATAGAATAACACAATGAAAATTTTAATCTGGGATTGGGAGGTCCGTTTTGAAATTTTTTTTTGGCCTACTGGACCCAGCACCCCGTCTAGTTGCATGGATTAGATATCTTATGTTATTTATTCCGGGAAAGGGAGCTAAATAAATAAAAAAAAAGAATGTTTAACATAATGTCTACCTGCTGTTTAAACTGCGAGTATCGAACTATAGCAGGAAGACTGCTGATGTCTTACCTCGTAGTATGACAGCCAGCCGGCAGACTTGGAGTACGGCCCGGGGGTGCCGCCGCCGCTGGCCGGGGAGCCGATGGTGTGTTGGTTGGTGTTGACCAGATGGAAGGTGCGGCCGTAGGTGCCGATGCCGATGTTGAGCTTGTCTTTGGGTGCCCCCAGGGACACGTAGTACCTGGCCACCCAGTCCTGGGACGTGAGAAGGTCATTAGGTGGGTGGTGGTATGGTAGAGAGGCTGATATGACATGAACGACAGTCTGACATGACATGACAGTCTGACATGAATGACAGTCTGACATGGCATGACAGTCTGACATGGCATGACAGTCTGATATGAACGACAGTCTGACATGAATGACAGTCTGACATGGCATGACAGTCTGATATGACATGAACAACAGTCTGGCATGGCATGTACGACAGGCTGATATGACATGAATGGCAGTCTGACATGACATGAAAGACTGTCTGACATGACATGAACGACAGTCTGACATGACATGTACAATGTATGTCAGTAAGTCATAACATGTACAATGTATGTCAGTAAGTCATAACATGTACAATGTATGTCAGTAAGTCATAACATGTACAATGTATGTCAGTAAGTCATAACATGTACAATGTATGTCAGTAAGTCATAACATGTACAATGTATGTCAGTAAGTCATAACATGTACAATGTATGTCAGTAAGTCATAACATGTACAATGTATGTCAGTAAGTCATAACATGTACAATGTATGTCAGTAAGTCATAACATGTACAATGTATGTCAGTAAGTCATAACATGTACAATGTATGTCAGTAAGTCATAACATGTACAATGTATGTCAGTAAGTCATAACATGTACAATGTATGTCAGTAAGTCATAACATGTACAATGTATGTCAGTAAGTCATAACATGTACAATGTATGTCAGTAAGTCATAACATGTACAATGTATGTCAGTAAGTCATAACATGTACAATGTATGTCAGTAAGTCATAACATGTACAATGTATGTCAGTAAGTCATAACATGTACAATGTATGTCAGTAAGTCATAACATGTACAATGTATGTCAGTAAGTCATAACATGTACAATGTATGTCAGTAAGTCATAACATGTACAATGTATGTCAGTAAGTCATAACATGTACAATGTATGTCAGTAAGTCATAACATGTACAATGTATGTCAGTAAGTCATAACATGTACAATGTATGTCAGTAAGTCATAACATGTACAATGTATGTCAGTCTGTCATAATATGTATATTGTATGTCAAACTGCAATAGTGTGTACAATGTACGCAGTCTGTCATAATATGTATATTGTATGTCAAACTGCAATAGTGTGTACAATGTACGCAGTCTGTCATAATATGTATATTGTATGTCAAACTGCAATAGTGTGTACAATGTACGCAGTCTGTCATAATATGTATATTGTATGTCAAACTGCAATAGTGTGTACAATGTATGACAGACTGTCATATCATGTCTATTGTATGTCAGAAGGCCATAGCATGTACAATAAATGTTAGTCTGTCATGACTTCTATGTCAGGCTATCATGGTGTATGTGTCAAAGTTTAATATTGTGCTTATAAATGTGGTTAAACGTGCGTGCCTGCAAATATTTTTAGATAAAAAAAAGTTAAATTAATTTGTCTAAATTTTGACTTTTATTATGCTGGGTACCAAGTTTAGCTGAGTTTGCCATCCGGTCTCACTAGGGTGGGCGTAAAGCGGGCTGTTGAAGCCCACCGTGTTGTCCCAATCTCCGTGGAAGTCGTACGTCATTATGTTAATGAAGTCCATGGCTCTAGAACACAAAAATGTACGTCATTATGTTAATGAAGTCCATGGCTCTAGAACACAAAAATGTACGTCATTATGTTAATGAAGTCCATGGCCCTAGAACACAAAAATGTACGTCATTATGTTAATAATGGCCCTAGAACACACAAACGTCGTACGTCATTATGTTAATGAAGTCCATGGCCCTAGAACACACAAATGTACGTCATTATGTTAATGAAGTCCATGGCCCTAGAACACACAAATGTACGTCATTATGTTAATAATGGCCCTAGAACACAAAAATGTCGTACGTCATTATGTTAATGAAATCCATGGCCCTAGAACACACAAATGTACGTCATTATGTTAATGAAGTCCATGGCCCTAGAACACAAAAATTTCGTACGTCATTATGTTAATGAAGTCCATGGCCCTAGAACACAACAATTTCGTACGTTATTATGTTAATGAAGTCCATGGCCCTAGAACACAAAAATGTACGTCATTATGTTAATGAAGTCCATGGCCCTAGAACACAAAAATGTACGTCATTATGTTAATGAAGTCCATGGCCCTAGAACACAGACAAGTTGCCGTAGTTATTTTCACTAACCCGTGAAGTAAATGGATTCAATAAGAGGTCACACTTAGGACGGCTGTGTGTTTAATTGTGAGGAAGGTAACATTCCATTAGGGGACATAATAAGTTGAAAGAATAGCAACTAAATGGTTAGCGGTAGTTGTACTTTCAGGTGAAGACAATACCAGCTATGTAGACAAGTGGTCCTGTATAGGGCTAGGTCCTACCCCTGGGCAGGTGAAGTCCTACTGGTGGACGAGTTAAGTCCTATGGTGGGACAGGTAAAGTCCTATCACTGGGCAGGTAAAGTCCTACCACTGGGCAGGTTAAGTCCTACCACTGGGCAGGTTAAGTCCTACCACTGGGCAGGTAAAGTCCTACCACTGGGCAGGTGAAGTCTTACCACTGGGCAGGTAAAAACCTATCACTGGGCAGGTAAAGTCCTACCACTGGTCAGGTGAAGTCCTACCACTGGTCAGGTCAAGTCCTACCCCTGGGCAGGTGAAGTCTAACTGACAGACGATTAAGTCCTACCACTGGGCAGGTGAAGTCCTACCACTGGGCAGGTGAAGTCCTACCACTGGGCAGGTGAAGTCCTACCCCTGGGCAGGTGAAGTCTAACTGGCGGACTATTATGTCCTAACACTGGGCAGGTGAAGTCCTACTGATGGACGAGCTAAGTCCTACGTACGCCGCTAATCCAGCAATATCATATCCCTGGTCAATATGGCTCTTGCCTGCTGGGAATGCACCAGTCAGGAGAAGCCTAGGTCTGCCGCTGCTCGAAGCCTCGCTCTGGAAGTGGCTCTTCAACTCCTAGAGACACAAAGAAGCTTGATAAAGTATGTATTCATTAGAAAACGACGAGAATAGCTCATTTCTAAGCTGCAAGCGAAAAAAAAAAACACTTTGACCAATGCAATCAACAAACACCATTCACCCTGGCTTAACACACTCACAACTCCAATTAAATATCAGAAACACAAGATGTCCCAACGTTTTTTTTTGCTCATTAACATTATAGATGAGCCACAACGCTCTCCCTCTCTCTCTCTCTCGCTCTCTCTCTTTATATATATATATATATATATATATATATATATATATATATATATATATATATATATATATATATATATATATATATATATATATAAATAAATAAATAAATAAAATTATATATATATATATACAAGCAATATATATATATATATATATATATATATATATATATATATATATATATATATATATATATATATATATATATATATATATATATATATATATATTAATATTGCTTGTATAGAACAGGATTGAGTGTCCTGTTAATTGGGAGCTGAAGGAAGTTGACTGTCCTGTTATAAGGTAGATGATATCCGTTAGTATCTTGGTAAGTGGTAGACAATATCTGAAGAAAAAAAGAATGACCTACCTGCATGAGAAGCAGAAACTTCTGCTTGTCCGATGCCGGACTCTCAAACTGGGCAGGATATTCCCAGTCCACGTCCAGACCGTCGAAGTGTTTTTGTCTCAGGTAGTTAATGGCGGACGTGATGAAGGCGGCCCTGGTGGAGGAGTCGTGGACGATGTGGGTGAAGGGGGCGGAGCCAGCTGTGGCGCCACCTATGGACAGCAACACCTTGAGGTTTGGGCTCTTGCTCTTCAGTGCTATCACTCTGGCATACCTGGCGAGTCAGTTGTAACTGTTACAATACCGACACTAAGACATACATATGTCTTATATATATATATATATATATATATATATATATATATATATATATATATATATATATATATATATATATATATATATATATATAATTGGCTATACATATAGTTGCCACTGTCTGTCTCTTGCCAAGTGCTATGTACAAATGGAGGTTAAATAAAACAAGTTTTATGTTTGGGCGAATAATACAGCTTCTCTAGTTTGACTTCAGATGATATACCGGGGACATACATGTGGTACTTATCTTGCTTTTTAACCAAAATGTAATTATCCTTAGGTTATCATGCAGCGTTTCGCATGAACGTTTTAAGGTAATATAAAGTAAAGACAACGTTACTTTTTTTTTCTTTCACAGCGTTGCCATATTTGTAGACAGATTTTTTTTTCTAATACTTTTATTTGCAATTTAAAACAAATACACAAAAAATGCTTTTGATTGTAAATAGAATCAACATATCGCTTCTGTTAAGTGGAGTTTATTTTATCTACATAATAAGCATTTCAAAAACAAAAGGTATTTTTTTTTAACTAGAAAAAAAAAGTTAAATTAAAAAAAAAAGTAAAGATTATACAAACAATTATTATTAGTTACATTTTTTTGTACAAATAAATATAATTGTTGATTCTTATTTTTATTCTGATACTGTTTAAGCGCTCTTTATATTTAGCTACTAAAGGGAAAAAGATTAAGTTGCTTCCCTTGGTGTTTTTTTAAATACTATAATTGTACAATAGAAAGTAACTAATCCCAAGTAATATTCAATGTTAAACAATCCAAATTTTAAACGCTGAAATTTGAAATATCGATTGCTCTAGGTTAGAATTATTCTCCATATATATATATATATATATATATATATATATATATATATATATATATATATATATATAATATATGTCGTGTAGACAATTTTAAATTCAGTTAATACTCATTTCAAAACACAATAAAAAACGAAAAGAGTGGGCAGCAAGATGTCTGCTAATCACGTGGTCGATTTATCGGCCTAATGCACCACGAAGTAAGTTTAATCATGATTTGCCTTTATACGTTTGACATTTGTGTTGGTGTAATTTCAATGGGGTGGTAATGACTGGGTAAAACAGGCGACACAATTCACTCGGTCTACTTGATAGGAAAAATACCCATTGGACAAGTTCAGCAAATTTTAGTCGACAAAATCTGTTATAGATTATAAAGTTTATAATCTGTATATATAATTCTCTTCTTGGAGACGATAGAAAACACCAAGCTGTAAGCGCCCTCCCTACCACCCCCACCCCTACATGGTCTGGTAAACTGTGGTTCACGCTAAATGTTTACAATCGTAGAGCCGGGTTTAGTGACGGCTATTAAGGCAGATAGTTTGAAACCATTTTAAACTTAGGGGAGGAAACTAAGAGGAGTTTGCTTTCAAGGGGGTGGAGGTAGGGGTTGGGTGAAAGGAGGGGGTATCGTCCTTAACGACCATCTAATAGTGTTTTAAAGCAAATATTTTCAGTGGCGGCATTGGTACTTTCGAATTCACAAATTATGAATTACTGAAAAGAAGAAAATAAAAAAACTAAATAGCGGCGTATGATACGCCGCGGGTCGGCTCGTATACTTACATTTCATCATCATTCCACTCATAAGGTTTGATCTGAGTTCCCTCGACTTTAGCGAAGGCGTAGAGTATGTGCGTGCAGAGGCTGGTGTCTATGTTTTCGGGGAGGAATTTGCCTTTTCCGGTGGTGTACTGGGACCAGTTGGTGTAGTAACACACGCTACGGAAACTTTGGGCTGGGGAAAGAAATAACATTTGGTGTAGTAACACACGCTACGGATACTTTGGGCTGGGGACAGGAAATAACATTTGGTGTAGTAACACACGCTACGGATACTTTGGGCTGGGGAAAGAAATAACATTTGGTGTAGTAACACACGCTACGTATACTTTGGGCTGGGGACAGGAAATAACATTTGGTGTAGTAACACACGCTACGGATACTTTGGGCTGGGGACAGAAATAACATTTGGTGTAGTGATAAAACACGCTACGGAAACGTTTGGCTAGGGACAGGGAATAACATTTGGTGTAGTAACACACGCTACGGATACTTTGGGCTGGGGACAGGGAATAACATTTGGTGTAGTAACACACGCTACGGAAACTTTGGGTTGGGGACAGGAAATAACATTTGGTGTAGTAACACACGCTACGGAAACTTTGGGCTGGGGACAGGAAATAACATTTGGTGTAGTAACACACGCTACGGAAACTTTGGGCTGGGGACAGGAAATAACATTTGGTGTAGTAATAAAATACGCTACGGAAACTTTGGGCTGGGGACAGGAAATAACATTTGGTGTAGTAACACACGCTACGGAAACTTTGGGCTGGGGACAGGAAATAACATTTGGTGTAGTAACACACGCTACGGAAACTTTGGGCTGGGGAAGGAAATAACATTTGGTGTAGTAACACACGCTACGGAAACTTTGGGCTGGGGAAAGAAATAACATTTGGTGTAGTAACACACGCTACGGAAACTTTGGGCTGGGGACAGGAAATAACATTTGGTGTAGTAACACACGCTACGGAAACTTTGGGCTGGGGACAGGAAATAACATTTGGTGTAGTAACACACGCTACGGAAACTTTGGGCTGGGGACAGGAAATAACATTTGGTGTAGTAATAAAACACGCTACGGAAACTTTGGGCTGGGGACAGGAAATAACATTTGGTGTAGTAACACACGCTACGGAAACTTTGGGCTGGGGAAGGAAATAACATTTGGTGTAGTAACACACGCTACGGAAACTTTGGGCTGGGGACAGGAAATAACATTGGTGTAGTAACACACGCTACGGAAACTTTGGGCTGGGGACAGGAAATAACATTTGGTGTAGTAACACACGCTACGGAAACTTTGGGCTGGGGACAGGAAATAACATTTGGTGTAGTAACACACGCTACGGATACTTTGGGCTGGGGACAGGAAATAACATTTGGTGTAGTAACACACGCTACGGAAACTTTGGGCTGGGGAAAGAAATAACATTTGGTGTAGTAACACACGCTACGGAAACTTTGGGCTGGGGACAGGAAATAACATTTGGTGTAGTAACACACGCTACGGAAACTTTGGGCTGGGGAAAGAAATAACATTTGGTGTAGTAACACACGCTACAGAAACTTTGGGCTGGGGACAGGAAATAACATTTGGTGTAGTAACACACGCTACGGAAACTTTGGGCTGGGGAAAGAAATAACATTTGGTGTAGTAACACACGCTACGGAAACTTTGGGCTGGGGACAGAAATAACATTTGGTGTAGTAACACACGCTACGGAAACTTTGGGCTGGGGACAGAAATAACATTTGATGTACTGAGGCATGGGGTAGAGGCGAACAATAACAGAATGTTTTTACCTATAGTGTCCTATAGGAAGCACTGACAACAGTACGGATAATAATTGTACTAGTTAACCATCACCGTGAAAATCTTACCTGCCCCTACCAAGAACACAAGAGAAATGATGCTGCACAGCATTTCTTTAACCTAGAGATGATAATCATAATTTTTCAAGTGTTTATATATATATATATATATATATATATATATATATATATATATATATATATATATATATATATATATATATATATATATATATATATATATATATATATTGTTTACAACGGTGATCATTTAGATAATTATTTCTTTATACAGACTACACTAAACGAATCAATATCTCCCATGGAAATAAAAACACGAACCGTAAGTTTTCTACAAACCCAGATGGAACTTCCAAGGGCCAAGAACTCTCGCTTACAATCGAATCAAACCTCTGTTGATGAGCAGAGACAGTAAACGGCTGGGTTAGGTCCGACCCAGCTTGATTTCTCCGTAGTTAAACCGTTGTTGTTTGAGTCAGTGACATACTGATAAGGATCGCCCCATCGTGGTTGGATAAGACAATGCTGGCTCTATTGTCGAACACCATCAAGCCAGCAGTGTAGACAGATAGCGATCGGATACGGGTCGGACGGAGACAGCCACCGAGTGAATAGTACAACAAACCAAACTCGCAGCTATTTCTGACAAAGACCCAGTTTTAAGAAACCGATTAGCTCTGTTAATCCCTACCTCCTCCCTGATTATTTCTATTAATCCCTCTCCCCTCTCGAGAGTAAATTAAAAAAATGTACATTCTAAAAATAGAAAAACAGGTAAGCTCAGATAGGTTATTGTACCACAGAATATGGAATAGTATTCAGACAGGAGCGATAGATCAGTCGATACTGGGAGAGATTTAGATTCTAATTTCTTATGACAAGTCGGGTCAAGCGCCCCTCTAAGCCTTCGTTGACCTATTAGTCGCATTTAGTCGTGTAAGAATAAAAAATGTAGAACAGATCTGCTATCTGAAAGAGTAGTTACCTAGCCCGTTGTGTATTTTCATCAACGGGCTCTGGGCTATTAATGTTTCTTGTTAATTTTTTTTCGCCAAGCATGGTTTACTAATAGATTATTCTTAATTATGTAAGCAATATTTATCTAAGTATGGCTGTTTGTAAAATGATCTGGTTTAAAAGTATTTTAAGTTTAGTTTTAGCCTTAACTAAGCGGTTAATTTTAACATTCAATTTTAGCTGAGTTACACAAAAGTTAACATTTATATCATGTACTGTGTCAATTTAGCTATTAATATGAAAATATGCTTCTCAAATCTGTAGATATTTTTATCGATTTTTATTTTTTATTAATAATAAAGAATTTTAATTCAAAACATCTTAATGAAACGACACACGAAGCTAAAAAACTTCAGATACAACAAAACTCAAATAAAATCAAACTTAAAAACTAATCTTGAACATTAAAATTTTACAGTAAGGTCTTAACTTAATCGTAAAACCATAATCCTCAACATTCGAATTTAATCCAGGCATAATCCATAAATCCACTGTCCTACATCTCAAGCGCCACCTCCCCCCATTCACTAATCGATACATATTGTCACACAGCTAGGTCTTAAATGACGTTACAATTTTTCCATTCCCCATCTCCTATTAAAAAATCATATTTAATTATATAAAAATATATTGTTTTTTCATAATATCAATACAAAATATACGACTTATTCATATTGCTTAAAACTGATGTATACAAAAAAATCTAATGAAGAAAAAAATAGTCTGTTTTGGACTAAATATATATTTATAGCAAATTTCTATCCTTTTAGCTTCGTTTTATACTAAAAAAAAATCACACTTAAAAAAAATAAAGATAGAAAAATTAGGTGGCCTTGAAATATACCGTGTAAAAAAAAATTGCAAGTGCGCCTGCAAAATCAGGTGCACGTGCATCTACACATTTATAAGAGCAAGCTCCTCTTTGAAGATCTCCGCTAGTTGTCTCTTCTCGTGCTGAAGGCGAATCTGATCCAAGCCGGAACTTGACGTCCTGCTAGCGTTGAAAGATTTGTACCGTCTAAGAATATTCGGCGTTCGATCCGCTTAAAACGGCTGATTTCTCTTCGTATACAGGAACCGCACCTCAAATTTTCAACGAGCGGTTCGAGTGCGCGTTTTTTTTTTTGGTGGGTGGGGGAGGGGGGGGGGGGGAGGGAAAAGGGGGGGGGGGGGGACGACAAGCATTAAACAAAATCTGCTAAGACGAAGTTATTGCATAGTTATCTTCAAATCACCGTCTATTTAGTCAAAGTCTAGTATTGCCATGATCGACTAATAAAGTCAAGCGTAATTAAAGAAAAGATCAAGCCTGATTAGAGATTTAGTTATGTGATTGTTGTAGACTGTATGTTGTCAATAAGCTCAATACCAACAACACACTACTGGCCTTGTACCCAACTCACAATAATAAGATTTTTAATTACTAATCTAATCACTAAATCTGTAATGGTAAGTTACCTATACAAAAACAAATTCACGTGTAAAATGGTCCGGATTAGTTTTGTTGGGTGTAAATTAGCACAGCTGGCATTTACTTGAGATTAGAAGAAATGTTAGATTACATAAAGGCACCACTTTTGGTGCGTGCGTTATCAGGTAAAGTTCTATAGCCTTGTCAAGTTTGGTGTGTATAGGTTGGTGTGTTCTTGCCAACTGTATTGGTGTGTTATTGTCAAGTGTATTGGTGTGTTCTTGCCAACTGTATTGGTGTGTTCTTGTTAAGGTTAGTAGTATGTTCTTACCAAGACTGGTGTGTTCTTGAATGTATTGGTGTGTTCTTGTCATCTGAAGTCGTGTGTTCTTATCAACTGTATTGGTGTGTTCTTGTTAAGGTTAGTGGAATGTTCTTATCAAGTCTGGTGTTTTCTTGTCAAGCCTTGTGGTGTTCTTGTCAATTCTAGTGTGTTGTGGTCAAGTCATGTGACATACTGAAGCCGCTACAATAGGTTAGCAAACATCACGTGATCTGAACATTTCTTAACAACAACAAAAATTAATTTTGCAGACACAACAAAATGCTGCTGACGCCGACTTTGATTTTACTGGTGGCGACATCAGGTACGTCAGTGCTTACATCATTAGCTGACAGAATACCCTACTAATTTGATTAGCTGACTTACTACCATAGTAAAATAATTAGCGGACGGACTGTCCTAATAAAGTCATTTGCTCACAGACTACCCTAATACGTCTGACAGACTACTCAAAGTTACTTAATAAATTAGCTTAAACATACCTCAGTTATGTTTTTTTATTGGTCTTACAAAAGGAGACATATTGCTAATTGTTATACAAAGTAACTTCATCGTAACTGATTGCCAATCTTTGATTTAAATTTAAATCATCTTTAAGGAAAATTAATTTCTGTAGAAACATATTGGGTGCATGTATTCTACTTTATACCAAATTTAATTTCTCTGCTCTATATGTAAAAACAAAATAAACTGTTGAAACTATTTTTACCACAGTGGCCTCCCTTAGAAGCGTCTGTTACTACACCAACTGGGCCCAGTACAGGGCGGGGAAGGGCAAGTTTTTACCCGAGAATGTCGACCCCACCCTGTGCACCCACATACTCTACGCCTTTGCCAAGCCCGAGGGTACCGAGATCAAACCATTCGAGTGGAACGATGACGACATGTAAGTGAGAATGTGGGGGTCGGATTAAATTGTTTAAACATTGTTAGACACTATGAGAAGTGAAGCTCAATGGATGCCATTAGTTATTCTCTAGCAAAGCTACTGACACAACTCAACTAAATAAATTAACATTTCTGTCTAATTAATTAAGCAGCTGGGTGGTTAATTTGACAGTACCCACATTTTTAGAACACTCCCCTCCTATCTTCACCTATATTTGTGTAAGATATTTTTCTGAGATGCTGCAAAGGAGTTGTGAATAAAGTAAAGTTCCCTATTCATCCCTTAAAGTTCATGGAGCAAGTGAAGTAGAGTTCAGCTGTTTCTGCGACCTCAGCATATGAAGGGACAGTGTAGTCAGCGCTATGCACAACCGTTTTTACTCTACGTAATGTGACTTAAGTACCCATCAGAGCGGGTTGACTAAGTGACGTTCTACTGACATGAACCCGGGTTCGAACTCGGTTTTCGGATAGCAGTCTAGCGCTCTACCACTGGGCCATTCCGTCCCCAGAAGTTATGTAATTTTTTTTTAATATATATGTAATATAAATGTCTTACAAATGTAAATTTCTTGTATTGAGAATAATTTAATATTATAATCTTTATTTTCATCACTTACAACTTACATTTGTAAAACAACATTTCATCTGATTTTAGGTATTCCAGAATCATGGCTTTAAAAAACAGGAACGGCAACTTGAAGGTGCTGTTGTCATTAGGCGGTGGCTCCGTGGGTTCCGCCCCCTTCACCCACATCGTCCACGACCCCTCCACCAGGGGCGCCTTCATCACGTCCGCCATTAACTACCTGAGACAAAAACACTTCGACGGTCTGGACGTGGACTGGGAATATCCTGCCCAGTTTGAGAGTCCGGCATCGGACAAGCAGAAGTTTCTGCAGTTCATGCAGGTAGACTAGAACTCTTCATGCAGGTAGACTAGAGCAGGTAGACTAGAGCAGGTAGACTAGAGCAGGTAGACTAGAGCAGGTAGACTCAGGTAGACTAGAGCAGGTAGACTAGAACTCTTCATGCAGGTTGACTAGAGCTAAGGTAGAATTATGCAGGTAGATTAGAACTCTTCATGCAGGTAGACTAGAACTCTTCATGCAGGTAGACTAGAGCAGGTAGACTAGAGCAAGTAGACTAGAGCAGGTAGACTAGAGCAGGTAGACTAGAGCAGGTAGACTAGAGCAGGTAGACTAGAGCAGGTAGACTAGAGCAGGTAGACTAGAACTCTTCATGCAGGTAGACTAGAGCAGGTAGACTAGAGCAGGTAGACTAGAGCAGGTAGACTAGAGCAGGTAGACTAGAGCAGGTAGACTAGAGCAGGTAGACTAGAGCAGGTAGACTAGAACTCTTCATGCAGGTAGACTAGAGCAGGTAGACTAGAGCAGGTAGACTAGAGCAGGTAGACTAGAGCAGGTAGACTAGAGCAGGTAGACTAGAGCAGGTAGACTAGAACTCTTCATGCAGGTAGACTAGAGCAGGTAGACTAGAGCAGGTAGACTAGAGCAGGTAGACTAGAGCAGGTAGACTAGCTAGAGCAGGTAGACTAGAGCAGGTAGACTAGAGCAGGTAGACTAGAGCAGGTAGACTAGAGCAGGTAGACTAGAGCAGGTAGACTAGAGCAAGTAGACTAGAGCAGGTAGACTAGAGCAGGTAGACTAGAGCAGGTAGACTAGAGCAGGCAGATTAGAGCAGGTAGACTAGAACTCTTCATGCAGGTAGACTAGAGCAGGTAGACTAGCTAGAGCAGGTAGACTAGAGCAGGTAGACTAGAGCAGGTAGACTAGAGCAGGTAGACTAGAGCAGGTAGACTAGAGCAGGTAGACTAGAGCAGGTAGACTAGAGCAGGTAGACTAGAGCAGGTAGACTAGAGCAGGTAGACTAGAGCAGGTAGACTAGAACTCTTCATGCAGGTAGACTAGAGCAGGTAGACTAGAGCAAGTAGACTAGAGCAGGTAGACTAGAGCAGGTAGACTAGAACTCTTCATGCAGGTAGACTAGGGTTAAGGTAGAATTATGCAGGTAGACTAGAACACTGCAGTTCATGCAGGTAGACTAGAACACTGCAGTTCATGCAGGTAGACTAGAGCTAAAGTAGAATCATGCTCCTTATTCCAAAGACTAGCATGTTACGTAGAGTTAATGGATAGATTGATTTATTAATTAATGGATAGATTAATACAGAAAGAGTGTGTATATCATTGATGCAGGGTGGTTGGCAATATGTTTAGTCCTTGGCCTTTAAAGTACTAGCTAGCAAATAGTCGCCATAAGTAAATAAATATATATTGTATTGCATAAATCTGTCTAGTATAGTAATGGCTTTAGTACTTAGAACAATATAATATAGATATTGCCTAGGCACCTAGACTTGCCTAATATGCAAATTGCCTAGGAGCCTAGACGAATATTGTACGAATATTAGTCTAATATAGATTTTGCCTTTGTGCCCAGATCTGTCTAATATAGAAAGTTAAACGACAAGTTAGGAGTAAAGTCAATGATTAACCAAAATTTTTATTGTTTTTTAAGTCAACTTGTCAACACTCAGTATCATGTTATGTTTCAAATAATACACCCCCCCCTCCCCCACAGGAACTGAAATCTCGTTTTGAGAGCGAGGCTTCCAGTAGTGGACGTCCGAGACTTTTGTTGACCGGCGCTTTTCCAGCAGACAAGAGTTATATTGATGCCGGATATGACGTAGCAGGTTTGGCGGCGTGAGTTAACCAGCTATAATCTGGTTTATGTATTTCTTTTCCCACTTTTCTGTTATGTTAGTATCATGAGTAAATTATTCAAGCAGGCTCTAGTCAATATATTTACTTCATTTCCTTTTGTACTTTTCGCCTTTCTGATGAAGATAAGCTAAAACAGTACGTCTCCAGCTAGATCAGTTGGTAGAGATTTATGCACTATCGGCTGTGACAAATACGCCCCCCTCCCCGTCTACCTCTCTTTGAGGACATTCTTGGACTGACTTTCGTCCTCTTCCAAACGTTGTTTATTAAATGATTTTCGCTTTTCCTTATGATCTTTCTGAGACACATAATGAGGAATAGTAGATTACTATCTGTTTCAACTTTATGAACAGGAAACATAGATATATGGCCAGAATTTCGTTTCGTTATGCTTGAGCCAATTCTGTTTTTACATATTCCACATTCATTACTTATCGAGTGTGTTTTTTTTCCTTCTGATTTAGAGTGATGGATTTTATCAACGTAATGACGTATGACTTCCACGGCCCATGGGGTAACACTGTGGGGTTCAACAGCCCGCTCTATGCCCATCCTAGCGAGACGGGCTGGAACAGTCAGCTTAACCTGGTGGGTCGGTTAGGCTTAGGTTCAAACACTCAAAGACAACACGAGTATGTTAGGTGTTAACCTGGTGGGTCGGTTAGGCTTAGGTTCAAACACTCAATAACAACACGAATATGTTAAGTGTTATGTAGTCGGGTTTATTGCCCAAATGAAAGGTACACATAGATGTAAAAGAAAATTTGCACATAAATAAAAGAGAAAATTGCCAATATAAGAGAAAATTTTTATATAAATATAAGAGAAAATTGCTAATATAATAGAAAAGCTGCTCACAAATACAAGAAAAAAATGTGCATTAAATATAAGAGAAAAGCTGCACATACATATATAAGAGAAAAGCTGCACATAAATACGGTGGCACATTGATGCAATCATATTTGTTTAACATTGTGACAGGACTGGACAATGAAGTATTACGTGTCCAAGGGTGCTCCTAAAGACAAACTAAACATCGGCATTGGCACCTACGCCAGAACGTTCCGCCTCGCTGACTCCAACCAACACAACATTGGCGCGCCGTCTGGCGGGGAAGGAACGGCAGGGCCGGTCACTCAAAGTGCTGGAACTCTGGCATACTATGAGGTGAGTCGCTAGCTGGAGCTAGTTTTATTTGTGTATATTTGAGTATGTTTGTGTATATTTGTGTATATTTGTGTATATTTGTGTATATTTGTGTATATTTGTGTATATTTGTGTATATTTGTGTATATTTGTGTATATTTGTGTATATTTGTGTATATTTGTGTATATTTGTGTATATTTATGTATATTTGTGTATATTTGTGTATATTTGTGTATATTTGTGTATATTTGTGTATATTTGTGTATATTTGTGTATATTTGTGTATATTTGTGTATATTTGTGTATATTTGTGTATATTTGTGTATATTTGTGTACTTGCGGCATGTAAGAAAGCGGCGAGCTTTAATAGAGGCACAATGTGCCACTAAGAACCCAAAGAATGAAATGATGGTATGATGATGACGATAATGTTAGTATGATGATGATGTTAGGATGACGTTGATGATGGTATGATGATGATGATGATAGGGATGATGATATAATGGTGATGATGAAGATGATGATCATGATAATGATGATGATGATATGACGATGATTGTGCATTTACTAGAGATTAGCTGATTCTCATATACTAAATTATTATATTGTATGCACTAACTAAAACTTATAAAATTATACACATTAACCATCTATATTGAATAGGTCTGTGATCTAATTTCTTCTGGAGCATCCCCTATTTTCGATAGCTCCCAGCGAAATCCCTACATCGTCAGAGGCAGCGACTGGATTGGTTACGATAATCAACAGAGCGTGAAAGAAAAGGTAGGCAACATGCACGTTCAATCATTTGACAGATTGAGAGTAACTATCTACTAGTTTGTTGGGAATTTCCCCATAATCGTTTAGTTTATTGGAGATTTCCCATAATCTTTTAGTTTATTGGAGATTTCCCATAATCTTTTAGTTTATTGGAGATGTCTCTTAATCTACTAGTTTATCGGGAATTTCCCCAAAATATTTTAGTTTATTGGAGATTTCCCTAAATCTATTATTAACGAGTGTTGTATCGTGGTTATTGAGTCCCTGCCAACCTCTGGTCCCCAGGCCTGTTACGCCAGAAACAACGGCTACGGGGTGATGTTCTGGGAGCTGAGCATGGACGACTTCTCTGGTCAGTCCTGTGGTCAAGGAAACTACCCGTTAATTGGTCTAGCGTACCGGGTGGTTCAAGGCAGTGAGGGATGTCCTTAGGTGAGTCACACCTCCCCTCACATTCATACACACACAAGTGAGGGGTGTCCTTAGATGAGTCACATCTCTCCCCCACACTCATACACACACAAGTGAGGGGTGTACTTAGGTGAGTCACACCATCCACACACTCATACACACACACAAGTGAGGGGTGTCCTTAGATGAGTTACACCCTCCCAACTCACTCATACACACACAAGTGAGGGGTGTACTGAGGTGAGTCACACCATCCACACACTCATACACACACACACGTGAGGGGTGTCCTTAGATGAGTTACACCCTCCCAACTCACTCATACACACACAAGTGAGGGGTGTACTGAGGTGAGTCACATCTCCCCCCCCCACTCACTCATACACACATAAGTGAGGGATGTACTTTGGTGAGCAACATTTCACCCACACTCATACACACACAAGACAGTGAGGGCTGTCATTAGGTGAGTCGCATCTATCAACCCCCCCCCCCCCCACCCCCCGCACACAAAACAAAAAATTGAATACAATACTTAAATAGAGATCTATATTCTATAAATATTTCACAATATATATATATATATATATATATATATATATATATATATATATATATATATATATATAACATTTTTGTACTGTTTTGCTTCCAGTATGTGACAGACTTGTATAAAACCTTGTTGACTGAAATATCTGCATCGAAGCAATGTTTAATCAAGGGAGTAAATAAATATTATAAAATATCGTTTTGAAAATTTTTGTTTTGTGTTTTTTGTCTAGGCTATTCTCGGTGACTATCAAAGCATATCCGTCTAGAGAATACTAGATTTCACGATAACTATACGATAACTATACGATAACTTCATATAAACTTCCGGTTTTGTTTTCTCCCAATTTCGCAAATATTGTTTGATGTTTGTCCCCCCCCCCCCCCCAAAAAAAAAAAAAAAAAAAAAAAAAAACTGCGCACTCGAACAGCCCGTTGAAAATTTGAGGTACGGTTCCCGTATGCGGAAAATAAATCAGCTGATCTACGCGGATCGAACTTCGAATATTAGACGGTAAAAATCTTTCAACGTTAACAAGACGTGATGCCCCAGCTTGGATCAGATTCTCTTTCAGCACGAGATGAGACGACCAGCAGAGATCTTCAAAGAGGAGACAGGTGAGTGTACATCTACACATGCAAGTTTGCTGTTGTCTATTTGTAGGTGCGTGCTCATCTACACATGCAAGTTTGCTGTTGTCTATTTGTAGGTGCGTGCTCATCTACACTTACAAGTTTGCTGTTGTACATGTGTAGTTGTGTGTGTACATCGACAGCTGCAAGTTTGCTTTTGTACATGTGTTGGTGCGTGTACATCTGCCTTCGCTGGCGCCGGTGCTTATTGCACGATCGCTTTCAAAACCATCTAATTTTCTACCATTCCTGAAGAATCGGAACATTAGCTTAAATACAGCGAAAATCGGTGCTGTTTTCTATTGCAATGTCTAACGTGCTATCGGTTTTACTCTTTTACCTGAGAAAATATTTTTCATGACACTACATGTTCAACCTTTTACTTCCTGTTTAGTATGGAGATAAACATTTTTTTAACACACATGCTATCTATCACCATTTGAGAAGTAAACAAAAGATAAAACAAGTTGGACCACAACTGTAATTTTATCAGTTACTCAAGATTTTCTACAGTTACTTCGTCTAGATCAGGCGTCATGCCCACTAAGCATTAGTGGGCAGAGGGGGGGGGGGGGGGGGTAATTAACAGAACGGGTACTAACACAGGGACTTGTTTACATAGCTTTTCCCATTAAACTTGTCTGTTGCAATTTTTCGGTTTCTTCAGATTAAATTAGAAAGCTGAATCAACGACCTTGACAGTATTTTGACAGTACTGACACGTCAAGAATAAAAACAATTCCACGGATCTAGTTTAATAAAAATACTATATACTCTTTGAAAAGTGTGAGTTTTTTTTTAAAACAAGACCTGCAGATTGTGATTTGAGTCTGTCGTACATTGTGAGTGTAGACGCAATCAAGGAACCCCCTTAAAGCATCAAAAGGCTGTCTCGCTGTTGTTTAGTGTTGTGTTGTGTGGCGGATTGGAATAGAGGGGTAGCGACCCTTTTCGGCGCCCGTGGCGAACTATCAACTTTGCGCCTCCTCTCTCCTCATGTGTATAATTATGCAAATTGTCCTTGGCAACTCCCCCCCCCCCCCCAGTTGGGTAAGTTCGGATGCCGTTTCTACCACTTACTGTCCCTAAATGGTTTTTATGTTAATGTCAAACATTTGATGTAGAAAACAGTTCAATGAACCCGTAAAACCGACTAATGGTCTATTTTCAATAACTTCGACTGTGTTTAATTTAGTAATACAGCTCAAAATAAGCTTTTAAATTTATTTTTCTACCCTGTTAGGCATCCCCCTTAGTTCTGCGCTCGGGGAGGCCGCCCCAGCCCCCCACCTAGCTACGCCTCTGCGTCCAAGGCGTCACAGATTAAAAACAGAAGACTGATAGCAACTATCATTAAGACGGCAGATATTAACTATCAATATTTAACTTACTAGTCTGATAAGGATTTAGGTTAAAACAGTAAACATGTGCAAATGTAAGGTTAAATTATTCAAGGTTAATTAAATATTTCGTATTAAATATAATATAAGAGTGTTTTTTGTTGTTGTAGCACACGTTGTGTGGTTGTAGCTATAACAATGGGGAAAGGGCGTGGAGGTAACAGTGATAGAAAGGTTGGCTTGCGGGGTAATTTACGGATCTAGGTTTAGAGGAATGTAGGGAGCTAAAACTCATGTCAGTTTAAACTAAGGTCAATCGAGAAGGATCAATCTTAGATTTAATTAAACTGGGGAGCTTAAACTAAAAGGTATATATGGAGCTCAATAGGTTATACAGAGCTAAGATAAAAAGAAAGTTAACGGTTTGGTGAATATATAAAGCTTTGGTAAAAGTATGGATCTTAAGTGAAATTAGGAAGCTTAAATGAATGCAGTGAGCTTAGGTAAATGTTTGAAGCTAAGGCGAACGCAAGGAGCTTATTTGAATTTAAAGAGCTTAAGCTGAGCTGCATGCTAGAAGCCTAAGCTTAGGCTAGATACGAGAGCTTAAACGAAATACTCTAAAACTCGTTACAAAAAACATCCAAATGTACAGATTAAAAAATTCTACAAAAGAATCCAGGTCTATTTATAGAGTTTTTCGTGTTGGTTGATGTGTATGTACGTGCGACAGCCAGCCTGTACTTAGCCTACATTAAAGATAACTACAATCAAAAGCGTCAAACGCATACAACAAAAACATTAGCAATTAGCTTGATTAACAGAGTACAAACATATCAGTAAGTTATTTTATTCTTGCATTATACAACTGCATACACAATTGTTTTGGCCGCACACGTTACGCGTGTTCGATGTGTTTAGTTTAAGTACAGTTAAAATTTTGTATGAAGTAGATCACACATTTAAATCATACACGTGGTTGTTTCGCTATATTTCACTTTAATTTCAAAATTTAGTTTTGTGCAAGATCAGCGCGAGACAAATCTTTTTTGTTTCATTTTAGATAGTGTTAGTGTTTCTCTTCGTAGGAATGGTCGCCCCCCCACCCACAGAGTTTCTTCCAGGCTCCTCCCCCCCCCATACGAAATGAGATTTATATAGAAAATATTTACTTTTATCAGTGTCCGCCCCCCCCCCCAAGTTTAATCCGCCCCCTTACCCCCCGAAAATTTCCAGTGCCAGTGCCCCCCCCCCCATGGAGAAAAAAGTCTGGAAGAAACACTGCTCCCCCCCATACTACGTTTACCGCCCCTCCCCCGATGGAAATATATAGATAATATATACTTTTACCGGTGTCATCGTCCCTGGAAAATGTAGCACCCCCCCCTCCCCCCTAGGAAAGTTTGAACACTTGAAACACTTGATCGTTTATAATTTTTTTTATTTTGTTAAAAAAATGTTTTCGTTTTTTTCTCTTTCGCTTTCATATTGTATTGTCTGAAAATGATAATTTCATTCAACATCTCAACCTAGACACTTATCAATCAGTCGAGTTTCTTGCACGACTGTCAAGCACAATGAATTAAATTATTTAATCGTGTTCACAATAGATCTTACAGCTGCTACAGCAGTATATACATATTTCACCTTTGTGTTCACAGCGCCATGATCTGGATTTTACTTCTCGTCTTGACAACCTCCGCTGTGGGAAGTAAGTCACGGTAGATCTATAAATAGACCGTAGATCTATAAATAGACCAGTAACACTTAGAGTTGTGAGTGAGGTGCTTTCATATAAGAAAAAATGGAGTTCTCGCATCCATGTTTGCTTTAAAGTTTTGATTCACTTTTATCACATGGGTTAGATGCGCGGAGGGAGGGGGTGGGGATGGGGAGGGTGACCCAATACATTACTGAAAAGACCTAAAAAAAACCACGCCTTCCTTAAAGTTTCCTACACTCTAAACACGTATTTGCTAACGTTACATACAAAAACTTTTCCTTGTGCTGAAATAATTGAAAACATTAGCCGGCCAAGATTGTTACATAGATCGTTATACTGTAAAACCGAATTAACGACATCAACATTTCTGACATCACAAAACATTGCGACATTCTAGGGTTTGTCATAAACCGCGGACAGCTAAATTATCGGAAACGACGAAATCAGGAAATCACTACTTAATTAACCCGTATTGGATTCAAACTTTTCCATGACGTCATAGTTTAGAGAGTAAGTCATTAATATGGTGTGACGTCGTAGTTTAAATGGTTTATCATTTTGCGCAATATCTTGAAATGCGAAACAACAAAGTCTTCGTACAGAAATTTTTACTTTATTTTTTCTCTCCATGACGCAAGAACATAGCTAGTAAGATGTAAATCTGACGTCAGCCAGCGTCATCCAACTTAACATGACGTAATGTTTCATCCGCGTTACACAATATCTTGAACAAGGAAACAACTGAACCGTATCGACAAGGAAGTTTTACCCCCCTTCCCGTTTACACCCGTGTATAGACATTGAGCCGTCAACAGTATATGACGTCATATCGCATCGTATCTATACAACCTCAAACGTTTAATTATTCTTATAGATTACATCTCTATCTATATCGCCACGTAGTCGGAAAACCCTGAAGCGATTGTTTCCTTACGTACGACACATCCTCCAACCTCTATCCCCCGCCCTACCAACCTCCACCCCCCCTCCCCTCCGCCACACTATCACAGAGAAGTTTGCAAGGATCTTCACAATATTTACATGGCTATTTTGTGTATGTCCATGCCTGACTGAGCCAAACGACCTTGACCCGTGTGACCTTGCAGGCACCTTCAGGAGCGTCTGCTACTACACCAACTGGTCGCAGTATCGGCCGGGGCGGGGCAAAGTACGTCCCTGAGAATGTCGACCCCACCCTCTGCACCCACCTGATCTACGCCTTCGCCAAGCCTGACAACGCCACCATCCACCCATTTGAGTGGAACGACGACTCCACCGAGTGGAGCAAAGGGATGTTAGTAACCTATTATAGTGTTAATAGCGTTTCATCGTGTTAGTAGCATTTCATTTTGTTAATAGCATTTTATCGTGTTAGTAGCCATTCATTGTGTTAATAACATTCCGTCGTGTTAGTAGCCATTCATTGTGTTAATAACATTCCGTCGTGTTAGTAACCTTTTATTGTGTTCATAGCATTTCATCGTGTTAGTAGCCTTTTATTGTGTTAATAGCATTTCATCGTGTTAGTAGCCTTTCATTGTGTTAATAGCAT